CCACCACCAGTCACAGAACTATTGAAGAATCGTGAAATTGGGCAGATCTGTAATTACAGGAGAAGTTGTGAATTTAGGCAAACTACCTAGAAGGATGTGTTATTTTGGCTCAAAACAATATGTGATGGGGTCCGTGACAGTCTCTGTTCTGTTTCAGAGCTTGCCATGGTGAAAAGGGGTGTTTCGATGGGCGGTCCTTAGCAGGAAGCTGTTATCCCTCTTTACAGAAGTGCATAATAACTCCTTTCCTTTACAAATTTCTTTTTTGTTTACTTTATTAATGACAGACATAGTGTAATAGAGGCATAGTAGAACAGAGAACAGGCAGTTTGCCTTTGCTGGTTTGTACCGATTTTAATATTGTACTTAGCTGAGCTGTTATCCCTGTTTATAGAAATGCATGATTACTCCTTCCTATGGAAAGAAGTGGTTTCAAGAATCCAGTGGGGTTTAATGCATAACAATTTGATCCCATGGAAAGCAATGGTTTAAAACAGCATCCCTGTCTCAATAGTCCAATGGTTTTAGACACAGAACAATGAGCAAGAGTTCACTGGGTTTAGCTGCAGAACTATTGCATCCCATGAAAGGGGATTCTGGCAGATTTGCATGAAGAAAAAAGCTGAGGGCAGAGACTTATTGCCTATATGTGATGAGGAAGATAGCAAGTATCTACAGGAAAGCACTTAAAGTCTGCTGAGAGGAGAACAAATAAAAATGAGCAAGGAAGAACTGATATTTATGATCAGCTCCCAATTCCTGTTTTAACTTAATAATGCCTCTCAATACTGCCAACTATTAAGATCCCTGTTCTATGAACTGATCCAATAATTTATGATTAAGTGAGATCTGCCTTATGTTTGGAAATCTAGAAATTTGCGTAAAAGCTTTCTTGTTGAAAGAGGTTCACATTTCTGATTATCAGCTCCTTCACCCTTAGCACATGAAATCCCTTATCTTTGTCTGGATCCACTGTAAAGTTCCTTGTGTGGCAAAGATAGTGAAAGGAATAAGGATCTTCGGTCTCAAGAGTATCTTCAAATCCTCCTGTGTTACTTGTGAAATTGAATCATAGCAATACAGCAAACAAGGGTGTGTCTGAGTCTATGATACACAACAGTTCATCTGTACACAACAGTTCATAGGATTACAGGGACCTGGCAGCTTATGTCAAAGTAGTTCACAAAGGCTTAATGAATTAGTTAGCTTTTAAACACCCAGAAGGTATCTCTTGTTTTAGCTTCACTACATTGATATAGGTAGCTGAAGCTTTTACTAAATGTTACATTTTCCATGAATGCAATTTACAAAAACTTACTACTGTTGACAGTTAACTCTGTAATAAGTCACAGTAAAGGGTTGTATACAATATTATACTGAGATAATATGCAGACATAAGAATGAATCCCCTCAATGGGTGCATCTATATTGTCATACTGTAGAATTAATGCAGTTTGATACCACTTTGAAACGGTTCAATGCTGTGGAGTAATGGGAGTTGTAGTCTTACACAATCTTTAGCCTTCTCTGCCAAAGATTGCTGTTGCCTCATCAAACTAAATTCCAGGATTCTATAGCATCAAGCCATGGAAGTGAGAGTCAGCCATAGTCATAAAGAAATCTACCCCTTGGAAGGGAAATTCACTCCTGGAGTTATCATGGGGAAAAGGTGTCTCCACGAAAGCTTTATCCAAAATACTTGTTTCCAAGCAAGCCAAATTTTTCAAAACCCAATTATCACAGGGACAGAAAATGTGGTGAATCTTCTGAACAGGGGCCCAGACAGCAAAACAAACACCAAGGGATGTTAACTCTTCCTTACGCTATCCAAAACACACACACATATTGTTGCACTTTAAAAATGTACCTGTCCTGAGTTACATACAAATGCAACTTAAGAACAAACCTACAGTACCTATCTTGTTTTTAACTTGGGAGCTGCTTGTAATTGCTTATATCCTTAATTATGTTTTAATAAAACGTTAATTTAAAATTTTTCAGACAATTGATTGAATTCAATGAACAGTGAGGGAAATGCGATAGCATTTCTCAATCTCTAAAAGTTCTTTATTGGTGCAAGACTGTATACAGGTTTGCCTTATTTCATTTGTTTTCACTCATGATGTTGAGCTGACCCCCCACTTACCTTGGATTAATTGACAAAACTAATACTTATTTTCTAGGCCAATTATTTTATTTTATTTTGTTTGGCCTAGCAGAACTTTGCTGATATCCATATTTTCTATGCACAATATTTTGTGTCTCCACCTATGGTTCAAGAGATGGTTAGCTAATTTACACAAGGATTCAACTGCACCAACCAGCTAGCTTCAAACTGCAGTGGAGTTAGCTAGTTAGGGCCCATCCAGACAGTTCCCTTAACACAGGAGTTCCCACAATTTAAAGGGGGCTGTCCAAATGACATCCCTGAGAAACACAAATTCATTCACCGCAAACCAGGGAAATCCTGGTTTGTGGTGAATTTAATTAGGTTGTTGTAGGTTTTTCGGGCTGTATGGCCATGCTTTAGAAGCATTTTTTCCTATGTCCATATAGCCCGAAGAACCTACAACAACCCAGTGATTCTGGCCATGAAAGCCTTTGAGAATACAGTAAGTTTAATTGTTAGTGGGTTTATTCCGCACCTTCTTGGAAGATGCGGGATATACCCACGACTTTGATTGTCTGGACTGCTCCCTCAAAAGTTCTGGACTTTTGAGGGGGCAGTTCAGACAGTAGTCCAGTGTTTTCCAGGCTGGAAAACTGTGAGGGCTACAATCCCCTCCCCACAAACCCCCTTTAAAAAAAAAGAAGTTACCAGGAGCCATTTGGCTTCTTCTCCTTTCTGACACCCAAAATGAAAGGGAGGAGGGGCTAAATCACTCCTGGCTTCCCCCCCCCTATGTTTTTGGGTGTCATTGGTATGTTCCCTCAGGTAGGAAAAGAAGCAAAATAGCGCTAGTGAGTTTCTTTTTTATTTGTAAGGTTTTGGGGGAAAAAAAATAATGGTCACATGTTATCCTGGAAGTATTCGGGGTAGCATGTGGATAGCCAAAGGGAAAAACCAATTTTTCCCCCTACCTGTGTGGATTTAAACCCCTTTGGAGCAGGTTTCTTAAACCCACTCCAAAGTGGGTTTAATGTATGTGTAGAACTTTCCTTAGTTTCAAATGACAGGTTCTAGTTAAAACAAGCTGCTAAAGTGCACTGCAGTGCAGATTCAAGAATTTAAAGCATGTCAAGCAAAGTCAGGGGAAAATCTTTACCTTGAATGCACATTCGTGATCTCCAAATGTAAAACTCATTTCATGGCGAAATTGACTCCACAGAATGTGAAGCTCATTGAAGACACCTGCCCACACTGAAGTGCTTTGTAAAATTCAGAACCCAGAGCAGGGGGTGCCAAAAAACATGCCAGTAGCATAGCTGGACAACAGTGGGCCAGTACACATCCTGACAGCGGTAATTGATTATCTATACTGGTGATTGTCACTTTCTCTTCTTGTTTACTCCTCATATGCCTCTACAGCTCTGGTACACATATCACCCAAAAATGGGGAAAATGCATTTTCTAATAGCTGTCTAGCTATAGAAATTTTAGATTCTGGTTCGAGGTCACCTTCCATGGTTAATGTAATCCCTTTCCCTGCCTCAAATCTGTTCCAGAGATGTCAGTCTAATCATTTGCACAGCAGATTTCTTCCAAAATGGTTCCAAACTGACCTAAGCAGTCACAAAGTCAAAAGTGAACTATGAGGTTGTGTATATTTTCCTGAGGAACTGTTGGCTGCCCTAAAGTGTACACTTTCTGCAGTTATTTCTATACCAGTGCAGCTCACTACTTTACCATGGTTCTTTGGATCCCTGCTACTAGATAAGATAAAGTTTAAAACAGTTTATCACATAAAATGTGTTATATAGGGCATATGTGTTTTATGCATGCTTTTCATTGTATGGAATCTCAAATATGATATGGTTACATAATATAAATCAGTACTGTTGATAATAAACATATGAAATGTTTATAGAGCACCATCAAGAGTTATGACTTGGTAACCATGATCCTTTAGTGCAGGCATGGGCAAACTTTAGCCCTTCAGGTGTTTTGGACTTCAACTCCCACAATTCCAACAGCTGGTAGTTGAAGTTGAAGTACAAAACACCTGAAGGGCTGAAGTTTGTCCGTGCCTACTTTAGTGTACTTTAGTGTATGTATATATTCAATGTATAGTAAATTATACACAAGTACAATCAATTGTATGTTATTGATTTTATAGTTATTTATTTTAGTTAATTATGTTATGTATTGCTTTTGTGTGTATATTGTGGCATTGACTTTTGCCAAATTGTACGCCACTCTGGGCCCCCTCGGCATGAGAGAGAGCAAGATAGATATGTAGTAAATAGATAAATAAATAGATAATTGTGCAATGGATGCCGCAGATTTGATCATACCTGTTGCAAATTAGTCAATTGGCTTTCTATCAGCCAAGTCAAAAGTGAGCTATAGGGCTGTGTGCATTCATCCGAGGAACTCTTTGGCTGCCCTAAAAAAGTACAGAACTCCCTGCAGTGATTTCTATACAAGTGTAGTTCACCACTTGACCATGGTAGCACACTGAATAATCTAGGGCAAGTTACAGCTTTAGAGCCTCAGAGGATGACAATGGCAAACTGCCTCTGAACAAATCATGCTGAGAAAACTCCATGATAAATTCACATTAGGGTCATCATAAGTGAGAAATGACTTGAAAATAGATAGCAAGTGCCCTGGAGGAATTCTAGCCAACATGCTAGGTCTTTAAGAGCTAGCAACATTGTTTTAAGTATAGCTATACTCCTGCTGACTAAATCATATTGCAATTGGCTTTGAAAAAAATCTGGATCATTTCAATGGGTCAAAATTTTTGTATAATTTTGAAGAAAGTACTAGATGGACAAAATAGTAAAGTTTTTATATTTTTCTTGTTTAAAAAAACTTTTCTTTTTTTTAATTCTAGGAAATTGCAAACAAGCCTTCAGAGTTTATTGCCTTCAGATCTGCAACCAAAAAAAATGTACAATATGATGATGTACCAGAATACAAAGACCGATTAAGTCTCTCTGAAAATTACACCTTATCAATTAATAATGCAAGAATTGGTGATGAAAAGAAATTTGTATGTATGCTTGTAACAGAGGACAATGTCTTTGAACAGGCTACAATAGTCAAGGTGTTCAGTAAGTACCAATTAATCTAACAACTAGTAAAATTGATAACTAATGTGTAGATCCTCATTTAAGAGATTTTTAAAGAGCATTCCCAAGGCATGGTAGTGAAAAGCATCAGATTACTTAGTTGTTCTGTCATAAATGCAAGTCCTAATTTTATGCTTAGCCTTGGCATAACAGACTCTGCTATCATTTATGTCCAAATGTGAATGCCAGCAGTCTGCTCCAAACAACTGTAGTGTGAAGACATGATTTCTCTTACCCAGTTACTGTATTAATATAGAAATGCATGTCAGGAAGAAATTTTGAAATGTGAATTGTGAATGTTCTGTGGTGCTCTATCACTGCTAAAATGCAATTGCAGTTTGTGTGTGTGAGAGAGAGAGAGAGAGGGAGAGAGAGAGAGAGAGTGTGTACTTCATTTTCTGTCTTTATCCCTAAGAGGGGTGGGTGGGGGCATAGCATTTATTGGCCAGTACTATGGAATAGAAGCCAAGGAGAAATGTGCAGTACACTTGTAAAACATCAATACTGGTCTGTGCAGACATAAACATCATCAACCCCATTATAAGTTGAAGGAGTTTTTAATTCCATAATTCAGTATGAATAAACACAGTAAATTTTCTGTTAATATTCACGTGAAAGAGAAAAAGAAAGTTCAAATAGTTTTGTCAAACATGCACCGTTTCTTAGCACCACTTTTTTGAGTTCAAGATCTTTTGAAATTTGTATTTGTACCCCATATTTGATCTTATTCATTAGATCAGTATAGGTATTTGCTGGAAGGTGCAAGATCTACAAGTGGGGGTGCCCAACAAATCCCCCCTAACATTTCTGCACAGGTTGCCTCCTCTTCATACCTTTTGGCAATGTAAACAGTTTTGGATTCAATTACAATTAGGTGAACCCGTCATACACATATTCACCCTCACACATTCACACAAATGCTTTAATATTGCTTTAATGAATCTGGGAAACTTTAGGAAAACACTATATGTTTATTGTTTATTTCTATGCAGTGTGAAGGACTTTCAAGAAGAACTAATCTCAAAAATCAGTTAGAAACACAAGAGGAGGACAGCGCTGTACTTCATAAGATTTGCTTCAGAGATTATGGTGATCATTGTTTAAAAAACTGTTTATTGTAAGCCCTTATTAAAAATGGCGACACAATCTCAGAAGAGAAGCTTATGTAGGAAGCCCATTTTAAAAATGGCTACCATCATTTTCCTCCACCCCAAGTGCCCCAATGGCAGGAAGACCACATTCTTCAAGCTCCTTCATGTTGCTGCTGAACACACTTGGTTAGGAAAGGAAAGGGAGAAAGAAGAGAAGGCTGCCTTTCTTTCTCCAGTTTGTCAGGGGTTGTTATTAACATTGTTATTATTTCTTACCCACCTCCTCTACCTCATGTCACTGCACTTGCACTGAGTTCCTAATAGAGGCAAGTTATTTTCTTTGCTCCTCTCTTCCCCCCTCCCACCTTTTAAACCACATTCTCTTTCTTTTTATTCATTAATTCAGTTCCCTCACTGTACTTGTATAGATGCAAACATTTGAATTGTTATAATTGTTTGTATAGATGCAAACAATTATAACCCTTCAAATAAACATATCCTCTCCTTCTCTTTAACTGTTCCTACGTATGTGCTCCCTATGTAGTTTTAAAAGGAGAGGAAATATTTATTTGTTACGTGTTCTTATGTTTTACCGTCAACTTATTTGCTCATAGCAAAATTTATAATTTTGGCCCCAAAACCTGTCATTGATGTATATATGACATTAACTTATACATTATCCCAACAATGACTTATATATATTTCAAATAATCTCTGTCTAGATGAGCAAACAATTATTTCAGGGATTTCTGAAGATCTTATTCATTTCTTTGTATGATAAAATATTTCCAGTGGATTGGAAAATAATCTTACTACTTTTCCTGTTTCAGCTAAATCGTATGGAAGAGCTTTGCTGCCAGTTGTTTATCCAACTCTCTTCTAAAGTTTTCAAAAGCCAATTCAAGTTTAGCATAACAATATTTCATATACTGTATTTTATATTTACACTTGAATGGTAGGAATCAAAGCTCAGTTTACTGGCACCATAATGTATTCCTATGAATAGTTAATTTTGCTGACTTAGCAAGAAAAAAGGCTCTTAACTTATAGATTTTTCTGAACTTAAGCATGCAAAATATGATACTTTCAATTTTTTGCATTTAGAATTAATTTCCATACTAGCTTCCAAAGAAGGAGATTCTTACAAACACCATATGTTTTCTCACTGAAGTGTATTAAATTATATCCACAGACTCAGTTCCAACTATTTTTTTCTCAAGCAGAACTACTGTGTCTCTAGAGATAGATATAGTTCTGTCAAGCTTATTGTCTTTCAGTCCTCAACTAATGGTCTGGCACAACTAGCTAACACGCTGTGTTGGGGTGCTGTATTGCTAACACTTGTCTGCAGCCAAAGCTGAATTATTCCAGTATCACTGTCAGTCAGTTTTCTTGCTGAACCTTGTCAGCAATTTCATATGCTTCTTCCAATAAACATAATCTTTCCTCCATTTGTATTTCCTGTCACCATTACTTAAAGATTCAGAGCTTCTGTTTTCGCCGGACTACTAGTGTTATAAGCTTCTAAACCAAGGCTTAAGTAGCCTGCTGAAATTTCTCACCTGATGCTATTAATTTCTTGAGCTTTAAATATATTGCTTCTTTAGAAAACACAAAATAAAAAGCTTAAATGAGCAGTGAAATTACATATTTGTTTTGTCTTCTCAGCTGCATAGTGTAGTACTTGTGTGTAATAAATAGACTGATCCCTAACTTGTGTTTATTTGGTCATCTTAGTGATTTTAGTAGCACTCACATTCAAGTAATTGTGTTGAGGATGGCAGACAAATAATCTATCAAGCAGTAGGTGAATCCCAGAATGCTTCCCTCAGCAATACTTATTTTAGCTTATCCCTGTATAGATAAGATAGCTCTGCAGGAGTCATAAATGCCTTTTACATAATTTAGACGGCAACTCTGTTTGCAACAATTAAGCAGTTTTTAGCAATTAAAGTGGCATCAAATTTAATTCATGTCAAATGGGTTGTCTTCTTCCTACATCAGACACAGCAGACTTATCTGTCTTTGGAGTTTTTGTTTTTGTTTTTATCCTTTTGTCCTGATTGTCTGGAAAAAAAAACTTTGACAGAAGAACACTGAAGACACTTTGGGGAGATATAACAGAAGGAATCTAATTTTGATGATGCCACTTAAATAATAAATGAAATTGCTTCTACCGAGCACCTTAGTATCATCCATCATTACAGCTTATCAGTAAATGCAGGCCAAGATCCATCAGTGTATTTGGTATTCAGTATCAGTGAACAAGAATTTTCTTTTCTTCAATGTCATGTCACAAGAATGTCAGAACAGTCCAGAGGATCTCTATAGTAGATATTCAAGGTGCATATGATAGATGCAGGAGCTAAAGATTGCAGGTTCTAGTGGAAGCAGTAGGATGATCCTGAGAAGCAGACCATTCGCTTTTGGGCTCAGTATACTTTTTATTACTTAACATTGTAAAATAATTTTAGAATAGTGCATTTGTACAATTGTTGTAGTGGCCAATTGTTTGTACAGATTTAGCATCCTTTAGTTGAAATTTCAAAATCCAAAATTGTCTACATGGGTAACTAGTAGAGCGATACTTTTGTTTTATGAGGTTTCACAAGCTTTGCCTAAAATGTATGAATTATCTTCAGGCTATGTGCATAAGATAAATATGAAACATAAACAAATTTCATTGTTATTGTTATTATATTTATTTAAACCCTCTTTATCTCCCCAAAAAGTGGCTTGACAGCAAATCATCGGTATCCAATTTAAAATATACAAACATTACAAAACAAACATTACTAAAAAAACAGTATTTAAAAATTCAGTTAAAATCCATCAAACATATTCAAAGTTAAAAACCATAGCATCCCCTGACTAGATCTTAAACACCTTCATTTTTAAATGCTTGTTTGAATAAAAAAGATTTTAACCTGCGACCGGAAGAACAGCAAGGAGGGAGCCATTCTGAATTCCCTGGGTAGGGAGTTCCAAAGTTGAGGGGCAGCTCCCAAGAAGGCCTGCTCTCTTGTTCCCACCAACTGACCCTGAGATGGAGGTGGGACTGAGAGAAAGGCCTCTCATGAAGATCTCAGGGCCCAGGGAGGTTCGTACAAGGGGATGGGGTCATCCAAGTAGCCTGGACCTGAATTGTCTAGGGCTTTAAAGGTCATAACTAGCACTCTGAATTGTGCCTGGTAACAGAGTGGGAGCCAGTGGAGCTGTTGCAGGAGAGGTTGTCTGCTCCCTGTAGCCAGCCCCAGTTAGCAAATTGGCTGCAGCTCTTTGGACCAACTGAAGTTTCAGAGTCCTCTTCCAAGGCAGCCCCACAAGTTCCAATTAGTTTGCCTTGATCCAGTCCATTACTGATGACAGGTGCTAGATTAGAGTCAGAACATCTTCCTTGGCATTAGGTGGAAAGGAGTTGTAGAGTTGGGTATCGTCTCCATATAAGTGGCACTGAACTCCATCAGTCCCCACAGCCCACCTTGGTTCTTTGGGCTTCCAAAAGTATTTTTAGACCTGGACCCCATCTTCAAAATATTTAATTATGTACATGTATGCAAATACAGTTACTAAATCAAAAATATTCAAAATCTGAAACACCTAGACTTCCAAGCATTTTTGGATAAAGGATACTCAAGCTGTAAACTCCAAAAAATATGTTAGAACGGATATTGTGTGCATTTAGGGGGAAAATCTCGCCTGTGTAAAACACTCCTGGGCTTGTTCAAGTTATAACTTTCACATAGATAATACTTTTATCTGCATAACTGTAGTATCATCAAAACGTTTACAATGTCTTTACTATTTTTTCCTTTAAAAAAATACAGAACAACCATCACAACCTGAAATCATAAGCCAAGCAGAATATTTAGAAACAGAACAGTTAAAACTGGTAAGTGAATCTTATTTCTTTAAAATTTATTTACTCCTTCCAAACTATTAATTTCATTCTGCCCCATAAGAACGAATTGTGATTTCAAGGTGTCAAAATGTAGCATTTCCTGTCTGCATGAAATATATAAAAATAAACTAGTAGTAGATTTATAAAGGATTATCCTTCTGCTCACATGTTAATGGCAGTTACACTACCACAATAATGTACCCATCAGTCTTTCCAAAAATTAAGTAGCTACGATAATCTTGAATTTGCCTGAGTTTCATAGTTTCATGCAGAAATACTTTCCACTTAAGGAGATTCTATGGGCCTTTCCAAAATGCGGGCCCTGATGAGCTTTTACCAGAGGCGTCCAAATGATGCCTCTGGTAAAAGCAAAGTAATTTGAGGCAAAGCAGGTAAACCCTCCTTTGTCTTGAATTACTTTGATAATAGACCCTATACCCCTTTAGACCTGAAAGGTCCAGGTCTAAAGGGGTATAGGGTCAGTGGGGACTGATCCACAGGACTGTTTTCACAGTCCTGGGGTCAATTCCCACAACCCACCTCAGTTCTTCAGGCTTCCAAAAGCCCAGAGCATCAAGGAAGCACCCCCTCCCCAACCTCCCTTCCACCTCCAAAAAGCCTTAGAAGAAAAGAAAAACTTCCTGGCTCGGCATTAGGCCTCTCTGGAAGCCTCCTGGAGCATATCAATGATGCACCGGGGGGATACCTCCTGGAATGGAAACAGTCCCCTGGGAAAGCCCAAGTCTTTCAGAAGGGTGTAGGGACTTAAACCTGCTCTAGAGCAGATTTCTTTAATCCAAAGCAAGTTTAAGCTCTCTCTGGAAGCACCCTATAGTTTACTTATTTTGAGGGATGTGAAAGATAGTCCTGTATCTCACAAGCAGAGTAATTAATGTTTTCAAGAAGAGGATGAGGAGCAAACAGCCCATACCCCTAATATCCACACATAGAATCAAGCAGATAAATGAAGGAGGCTTGATAGTCTTCATAAAATGTATGAAATAAGCTTATTTACAAATAATCTCATAAGATCTCCTGATGGGAGCCTCTGCAATGTGATCTTCAAACATGGAAGGAAGGAAGGAAGCAGTGGACTGCAAAATGAAAGATGAAAAAATTAAACAATTGGATACTAACAGGTGCAGAAAAACAGATGATGTGTCTGAGACGAACAGGAAATTATATGAATCCATATTATATCTCTTAAAGAGACATGTTTATAGTGCAGAGCTTTTTCGATCTATGCTCCAATTCTGTGGAACTCATTGCCTCCATATATTAGAGCAATGTCGGAGTTGCGACCTTTTGTAAAGGCGCTCAAGACTTGGCTGTTTGGTTGTGCATTTAAGTAATCGGATCAAATTTTGCCATAGTCACTGCTGAATGTTTTTATGTTGAATGTTTTTATATTGAATGTTTTATATTGTGTATAAACTATTTTAAATTGTAAGTCGCTCGGAGCACTTTGGTGGAGAGCGACTAATTAAGAAATAAAGTGATGATGATGATGATGATGATGATGATGATGATGTTTATTAGCTATTTCTGGTACAGGCATCCTAAGTTTGCTGCTTCTTAACACTCCTTGAAACTATTACATTCAAATCAGTTCTATACATTATCGATTATTCAACAATGCTCATATCTCAAGCTGCTTTTGTTTAAAGTGTGTCTTTGTTGTTGTATGCATTCAAGTCGTTTCTGATTCATGGCAACTCTGATACGAAGCTATCATATGATTTTCTTGGCAATATTTTTTGGAAGAGGTTTCCCTTCATCTGAGGCTGATAAAATGTGACTTGCCCAAAGTCATCCATAAGTTTCATAGACAAGTGGGTATTTGAAGAAACCCCATCAAAAAGAATCCTTGACTGACAGGAATCTTCATAATTGGGATTTATTATGCACAAAATTTGCATCTGCTTATTGTGTGCAGAAAACAGCATTTTCTGAGCAATAATGACATTTTCATTCAGAAATGCAAAAAAAAAACACATGCGAATTTTGCACAGATTCTTTGTAAATCCCGTTGAAAGAAAATTGTTCTTCCCTCCAGGAACAATAGTGATGAATTGATATTCTAGGGTTTAGCATTATGAATTTTGGTATTCTAGGCTGCATTATGCATGGTCGGGCAAAAAAATTCCTATGATGCCTGGCATTTCTTGAATATCCACACATTGTGTAATAAGGGGAAAATGTTTACAATAAACTCTGGTTCTCTACCACTTTTGACACTGTAAGAGTGATGGGAATGCAAACATTGCATGGAGCAATATGAAACTGAGTAAAAAGGAAGAGTTTGGTGCTTTTCTTTTTGCCCTTTAACTGCTAACATTTGTGTATGGGAATAAGAATGATGTGTGAGAGGAAACATGCTGCATTCTAGTCCACATCATAAAGATTATGGTGAGAAAGTGGATTAAATGTTGTGGGATGTGTTTGACCAAATAGTCATAAAAATGTAAGACAATTTCCTAATAGCCTGAACTTCATATCTAATTATGTCTTTATCCTTTTAGCTTGGACAATGTATTGCAAAAGATGGTTATCCAGAGGGAAACCTGACATGGTTCAAGAATGGAATTGTTCTTCAGCCTGTTGAAGAAAGTAAGTTTTAGAATGTGTGCGCATTTTGTTGTATCTTCAAAAAAAAATTCAGTTAATACGGTGGAATTATTTTTCTTAAGTGATTTGCTGTATTCCTGAAATTACTTCTTAAGCACAAGTTTTTTTTCTTTTCTTTCTAAAGCTATTGTCATCCATGAACAAACTAATGTGGATCAAGCAAGTGGACTATACACTGTGATATCTTCACTAGAATATAAGCCAACAAAAGATGATACTGATGCACAGTTCACTTGTACGGTGACATACTTTGCACCAACAGGACAAGAAACAATACGATCAGAGTCAGCAGTCTTTGACATTCACTGTAAGTTCATAAATCCAGAATATTAAAATTGTACAACCACTTTCTAAGATAGAAACCTGAGTTTTTATAAGGTTTTAGATGAGCAAAGCAAGGTTCAAGGACAATAAAGTTGGTGGAAAGACTGTGTATTTTATGACCATGGAAAACTTCATTGTGTATGATTTGAGGATGGGTATGACTAGCTGAGGGCCCGTCCAGACAGGGCCTTTATTGTGGGAACTCACACAATAAAGGAGGGGCTGTCCAGACAACATTCTGGACAGTCCCGCATTAATTCACTACAAACCAGGAAAACCCTGGTTTGTAGCGAATTAATTTCATAGTGCATTTATTCCATGCCTTCTTGGAAGGCGTGGGATAATCCCACTACTTCCGGTGTGTGGACCACAGTTTACCCACCCCCTTTCCCCAAGCCCCCAGACCCTTTTGAAAAGTAAAAAAAGCTTACCATCCGACTTTTTGTTGCAGAGGTCCTTTCAAATCTAGCACATAGATCACAATTAGTAGTGTGTGCTACATACTCTTGCTGTTCAAGCACTTTGAATGACTATTACTTAATATCCATTACATTTTTAGTAATAAGATGATATTTTCCTAGGTGCTCATAATTCCATGACATTTTACATTTTTCTCTGAGTGCTTATATATATTGTATTATAATGACAAGAGCTCTCATGATGCATTTCAGAATTGGAGAAAAAGCTAAATCCTGTTAAGAACGCCAGAAAAGTTACCATTAATTTACTTCTGTTCATTTCGTCCTAACACAGATACTGGGCAAATTGGTGTGACAGGTTTCTGTGACATTTAAATCGGTTACTTAGCAAATACCTGAAATAGCTTTAAGCTAACATGAGTATGTTGTATGCAAATTTTGAGTAGTGCCCAAGATATAGTGCACATACATTCTGCCAAAGATAAATATTTCTGGAACTTACTTGGAATTTTTTGAAGAAAAAAGTATTCATGAAAATTTCCAAGTTTGAATCATGTGGTTTTAATGTTTATATTAGGTGTTTTTAATTACTATGTTTTCATGTCTAAATATTGTTTTATCTTAAGGTTAATTGTCTTATTGAATGTATGCATAGTTATATGTTTTATTTAGATTTATGATTTGGTTTTTATGTATGTGAGGCTGATACATGAACATACAACGACATCACTAAAAGACTATACAGAATTTATTGCATATTGCTTGATTTTGTGACCACTGTGAATTGAACAGTCCTAGTTTCACAATTTACCTATTTGTTGGACTTATTCATTACTGTTATCTTTATAAGTGGATTATTGGTGTTTTACCTGTTTTATGTATGTGAGACATTGAATTTTGCCATTATTTGTTGTAAACAACTTTGAGTCCCCCTAGGGGTGAGAAAAGTGGTATATAAATACAGTAAATAAATAAATCTTCCCTTTAATTTCTCCTGGAGGAAGAACACTGAGTAGCAACTATTTTAGTAAGGTGGAGCTCTAAAGGGTATATAAACATAAATAATAAAATTAAAAAAATAAGGATAAGCAAAATAATAACTAACAATAAATTCCCTTGCTAGGAGATTGTCTTGGGGCCCCTCCACAAAGTCATATAACCCAGAATATCAAGGCAGAAAATCCCACAATATCTGCTTCTTACTGGGTTATCTGAGTCCGCACTGTCATACATTCCAGTTCAAAGCAGATAATGTGGGATTTTATTCAGCTGGGTGAAAGGGGCTTTGGCTTTCCCTTGATTCATAGAGAGCATCAGATATTATACACAGCTTCCAAGATATTTCTACCCACTAAAAGAGTAGCCCCCTTTCCTATTTTGCTAGACTATAGGATTAGATTTGGATTTTCCATGGAATTTAAAGTTATCAGGAACAATAATGACAGTCTAACAAGGAATCTGATTTGTTTTAGAAAATGTATGAATTACCTTGCTGGCAAGCAAATTAACACTATGTAACATGATTTTTATTCCCAGATTATAAATGTCATTTCCAAATTGGTTCTATCATAAAAACATAGAACATTTTTATTAAATTACAAAAACTTTGGTTTTGCAGGACATCCTGCAGCACATTTTGCTATAGTTTTTCAATAAATATCTCACAGAGTCTCACCCAATTCAACATAGTTTGTGGCAGCCACAAAAACAAAGTTTCTGAAGTATAACAACTACTTTCAAAGTAAGAACCACACAATTAAAGAGGAAATAACACTTTCAAATCAGGAACAGGATTTTTTTTTCAACTTTTGTTACATAGCGTAATATGCATTAAACAATGTTATCTGTATTACCTATTTAGGAACACCTGAAGGGGAATATGGTTTATAGCTCACTTTTTGTTTGGGGCCCTTCTACACCGCCACATAACCCAGAATATCAAGGCAGAATAACCCACAATATCTGCTTTGAACTTGAATATCTGAGTCCACACTGCCATATTTCCCAGTTCAAAGCAAATAATCTAGGATTTTGTTCAGCTGTGTGGAAAGGGCCCCAGTTATAGAAATACATCACAGTTACAATTTGGTAAAAATGCAAATCTGCATCCATTGCCATATAATTCAGTTTCTGGATCCAGATTATCTGCTTTGATCTGGATTATATGAGTCTACACATCCATATAATCCAGTTCAAATCAGATAATCTGGATTCAGAAACTGGATTATAGGGCAGTGTAGATGGGTCCTCAGAGGAAGGCAAAGGCAAACCTCAGAAAAAAATTCTAACCTCATGATCATTTTGCTTACATTTGCTATGAGTCAGAAATGACTTGAAGTCCCACAACATCTATTACAACAGCAACAGAAAATCTTGTGTGATACATCCACATTGTCATATTCAAATAAACCATTATCTCTTAATTATGGCTAGCCATATGCCAGTCACCTTTGCTTTTCCAAAATGAAAAAATGACATCTGTTCAGTAGTTACAAGATCTCAAGCTGTACTTGCAATGATCTCATATCTGCTTGAGATTCACATTTTTTTGGTGTTAATGATCAAACATGATCTCAGAACCTTACCTTTTCACCCTGGCAACTGCTCAGCAGAAGGGTTTTAAAAGGTGCTACAGATTCCATTTGCAATCATCTCCCAGGCATACAGGACATAAAGACAGAACCCTGAGGGGTGCTCCAGCTGCCTGTTCTTGAACTCTGAGATCACCGATGTTATTTCCTAGCACCCCAATCTTGTAATCTAGTTGAGGTACATCTAGGATAAAAAGGTTGAGTTGGAGAGGTGGCATCATCAGGCAAAGATAGTCCTGCGTCGTACCTATGCCTGATGATGTATGACCGTAACCTTAATTATATATATATATATATATATATATATATATATATATATATATTTGTGAAGTATACAAAGTACTGCTTAAGCTATGGCAGGAAATCAATGGCTGTTCTGCTACAAGACAACAAATTTGAGCAATGGCCATTGTCTCAGTAAACTATGCATAGTACCTTGTCTTATAGTCAGAATGCTGCTTGATATAAAGCTGGAATCTTGATTTTCCCTCACTCTGAAGTAAGCTAACTTAAATTCAAAGGGGTATATATCTGAGTAGGCATACATAAAACTGTTGAAAATATGGTACCTAAAAGTACATTTCTGTGATTTCTGTGAAGCAGACCTACATGGAATTTGGGTGTTCCACAAAAGAGTGCTCCCTTTAAAGGCTTTACATCAAAATATTTTTTAGTTCAAGGGCTGAATTCGGTTTTAGAGAAATTACTACAAGAAGAGAACGGATTCCAATGACAGGTAGTGCCAACAGCAACAATTAAATGGGAAAAAACATTGTCATATTTAACATTAAACCTCTTTTGTCAGCAACAAAGCCTTAAGACAACCATTTCATTGCATTGGAGGGAAATCATATAACAACTAGGAAACCTCAAATTATAGTGTTGTGAAGAAGGGATGTGGCTATTTAGGAAATCCACCTGAGCCTTTTCTGCCAAAGAATGCTGATTCCTCAAGTCCTGGGTTCCATAGCACTGAGCCAGTAGTGACAAACTGCATTAATTCTGCAGTGTAGATACACCCTGAGTGGAAAACCCTGGGAGCTGGATGCAGATTTGCATATCACCTATTTTGTACTTGTAACTATTGCTCCAGAGGGCTACCTGTGCATGTAATGGTCTCTCACCCCCCCCCCCCCCCCCCCAGGTCCCTCAACAGTATTTGGGATAGAAAGAGATTATCAATTTATATACATATTTTTTTTACAGATCCTACAGAGAAGGTCAAAATTCAAGTGCTTTCACAAAGGAATAGTATTAAAGAAGGTGATAACATTACCTTAAAATGTTCAGGAAATGGTAACCCTCCACCTCAGGAGTTTTTGTTTTACATTCCTGTAAGTACTGACTTCCTACAAAAGTGGATATAAAAGGGGAGGGAAATGTGTAGCATTCAACAAATATCCATATATGCTGGGTTGATGGACCGAATGCTACATTACATTGAAAGAGGATTACATCTGTGCCTATGAATTTATAGGAGGCTACTTTCTCTGTTCGTTGTTTCTTCTAGTTTGGACAACAAACAATGGTGGCAGAGTTGCTGGACAAAATTCCATCTCCAGCCACTGATCAGCTGCAGGAAAATGCGCCAAGATAGTTTTAGCTATTCTTGATCACAGAGAGAAGGCTTTCCCTCTCATCCCCATAAGGTTGCTCATTCATAGAATGAGTTGGAAGAGACCTCGTGGGCCATCCAGTCCAACCCCCTACCAAGAAGCAGGAAAATCGCATTCAAAGCACCCCCAACAGATGGCCATCCAGCTTCTGTTTAAAACCCTCCAAAGAAGGAGGCTCCATCACAGTCCAGTGCAGAGAGTTTCACTGCTGAACAGCTTTCACATTTAGGAAGTTATTCCTAATGTTCAGGTGGAATCTCCTTTCCTGTAGTTTGAAGCCATTGTTCTACGTCCTAGTATCCAGGGCAGCAGAAAACAAGCTTGCTCCCTCCTCCCTATGACTTCCCCTCACATATTTATACATGGCCATCACGTCTCCTCTTAGCCTTCTCTTCTGCAGGCTAAACATGCCCAGCTCCTTAAGGGCTTGTTCTCCAGACCCTTGATCATCCTCTGGACGCATTCTAGCTTGTCAACTTCTCCCTTCAATTGTGGTGCCTCGAATTGGACACAGTATTCCAGGTGTGGTCTGACCAAGGCAGAATAGAGAGGTAGTATGATTTCCCTGGATCTAGACACTATACTATTTATGCAGGCCAAAATCCCATTGGCTTTTTAAGCTGCTGCATCACATTGTTGGCTCATGTTTATCTTCTTATTCATGAGGACTTCAGTGAAATGAATCCAGATATGCTCCTGCAGCTAATTGATAATCCTCCAAAAATATATTTTTAAGAACAGGAACAAAACATGTGTTTGCTATCAGAATAACATTTAATGTATTAAAATGAATGATAAATTTGATCATTTGAGAATGGAGGTCAACATATCCTACTAGTGTGTTTCATTCATTGCAAAAAAAAATGAAAAGAAGGTCATTTTTTCTTATTCGGAATGTTTGGAAGTGTTTGGGATTTGGAATTTTTTAAGATTTTGGAAAGCTTGCATAAACAAAATGAGTTATCTTGGAGTTGGGGCCCAATTCTGAATATAAAATTCATTTATGTTTCATAGATACCTCATACATACAGCCTGCCAATAATTTTATACAGAATATTTCTACTAATTTTATGTATTGAATTACGTTAGTGTACAATCTCAGTCACCCATGTGGGCAATTTTTGAGTATTTTGGATTTTTTAGATAAGGGAATTGCAACCTGTACTTTTCTATTAACTTTAAAGGGAGAACCAGAACCTATAAGAAGTTCAAGTTTGTATGCATTGATAGATGTAAGAAGAAACGCAACAGGGGAATACAGGTGTGCACTGACAGATGAAAGTTTGATGGACTCCACTATAATTATAATACATTGTAAGTATTTTTGTTTTATTTTTTTCTGGTATATTTTTGTCTCCCACCAACAGGATATCTTAGTATCCTGTCGTTATTTGCTTATTGTTTTGATTTGCTCTGCTATTGTTGTGTTATGTTTTCTATTGTATTGTGTTTTGTGGCTTCGGCCTGTGTAAGCCGCATCGAGTCCCTCGGGAGATGCTAGCGGGGTACAAATAAAGTTAATAATAATAATAATAATAATAATAATAATAATAATAATAATTAGTATCTTCTTTGCCATTGACTAAAGTTAAAAATGGATTTCATTATAAGGGCCTAAATAAAGCAAATGTATATGTGCTGCCTTTGTTTTTCAAAAGGCTATCTGTATGACTTATTCTGGTTATTTGCTTGGATTCTTGGTTCCTTTTCGCTTCCAACATAAAGGATGTTGCTATGATTCATTGGTATTGCTCACTTTCCATATACAATATAGTTGAAATGCTTTTATTTCTTTGTCCTATGATTTTAAAAAGCTGGTAATTTACTGAACAAACGAGAAAGAGTAGATAGTTTACTCAGAAGTTATAACATGGTTTTTCAAGTATGAAATTCAGAAATGTGCCATAGTTAACATTTGTGTGATTGTGTACCTGTAAAGTTTGCCTGACTTATGGCAATCCTAGGGTGAAAATATTGTGGGTTTTTCTTAACAAGATTTGTTTGGCAGTGGTTTGCCTTTGCCTTGCTCTGAGGTGATCAGTTGGTCTCCATGGCTAACAGGGGTACACATTTACACCCACTGTAAAGCAATGGTGGGGTAGATCAATTTTCTGGCATCCAGGAAGAGCCCATAAAGCATTCCTGTATAACTATGGGGTGAGGAGGCATGACCTCTGTAGATGATAATAAGAGCCACACACCACCATCTTCCTCTTTGAAATTTTACATCTTTGGGGCAATGACCTGGGTCTTCTTGCAGGAAAGGCTCTTATTATTCAAGCAATTATTGATATGGCCAGAATTCAGGATCACTGGCCTTTACTAAAATTGCATGATCTGCCATCATCCTTAGGCAGCGTTGACCAGTGTAGGAGACGTATGCCACTTAGACTTGGTTCGGAAAAGAGTTAATAAATAAATCATGCATATAAGAGCTCACGCCAGAGGGAGCACTAGTGTGAGGAGAAGCACTAGCACAAGGATACAGGACTTTAGGACTTCAAGGGAGCAGCCTCTGTGCTTTGTGCTCTTGTCTGCTTTGGGAGATTGCTATCTGCTTTGAGGAACTTTAGTTTACTTGATTTTGTGTATTTGTTATTCCTAGTATGTTTAGCTTCATGAAAAGAAGGGAGAGGGAGAGAGGCTAGAATGAATACAGTATGAAGAAAATGATGCTTCTGCCTCTTCACTTTGTGCTTCCTTGCCACAACTGTGCTTCTACCATTTTAAAATGTATCTTTTTTCTTATTGTTCCCTGTAAATGTGTAGGTTTTCCCTTACTGTTACACTGGCCAACACACATTTTGTTTCCTCAAATGTGTTTCCATGCCACAAATTTGTGTAGCTACTATTTTAAAGTTGATCTTTCTTTTTATTGTTACATAAAAATGTTAATTTATACTTTATTTGTTATTTCTAAAATACATTTTCTTATTCAAAAGCACGTAACAAAAATTGGGGCAGAGTTTTAAGGGACGGAACAAATTAATAGCATTACAATGCATTTCAATGAAAACATTTGCTTTGAGATAATAGCATTTTGAGTTAAGAGCTCAGTCATGGTATCACTGAATTGCTTTGCAACTTCCTTCCCCTTGTGATCAAAATCCTCCCTCTCCCCCTTTTTCCTCCTCCCTTTTATGATAAAAATCTGTTTATTAGAATACTCTATTTCCTGTTTTTGTTCAGTTATCAATAAAGTCTCTTTACCTATTCATAACTTAATCAGGACTGATAAATCTGTAATGGACCATATTACCTATATGTTTGCTGCCATTCTCAAAGTACTGTAAAGCATTTTCCTGCATAGCAGGGGGTTGGACTAGATGACCCATGTGGTCTCTTCCAACTCTATTGTTCTATGATTTTATGATTTGTAAGACATGACCTTTTCAGAATCCATGTGAGGTGATATTAAAATAATAAATACTGAAAGTATTGTACAATCCTTAGGTATCTTGTTTGATGTGGTAACTTGAATAGTGTAAATTATTGGCATTTTATGTGTACTAAAGCTACACCATATAATGCATATAACGTTTTTATTATTATAATTGGGTCTTTCTAGTATTGACAGTAGTTAACAACAAAGGTACAAAGTTTCATCAGACCTTTCATTAGCACTTTTGCACACATTCAAAATATACACTTTTGAAGTACAGAAACAATGATTAAATCATTTGCAAGCTTTTCATATATTTATTTAAAATTTCTTCCTGTCTTTAATAGCTTGTAAAGTAATGCAGTAACATGCAGAAGTCAGCCTTTGCATTGTCACTTCCCCACTTGGTATGCGCTCTGTAGCAGGGAGATCGACTTGAATTCTCTGCACCAAGTTAACATTTGGCTTTTATTAAATACAGCACTTTGTTTCCAAGGCATGCTTGCTTTTTGTTAATCAATTACTGTTGCAATAATAAAAGCTTATTTTAAAATCTTAGGGTAATTTTTCAATCAGTAGGATTTTTTGTTCTGGATCTCTCAGATCTGGCTATTGTAACACAAATCTTTATTACATCATTTGACCCATTTTGGACTGCCATTGACCTCCCTATTTCTCAAATGACCTCAGGTTATTTGGAAGGAGGGAATCCTTTTCAATCATGAGGCTCCACAGGTTTTATGATCTTCAGGAGAGAATACTTCCTTTCTGTGATCAGAAAAGGAAGAGAGGGCCCATTTGTTAGTTGTTTTGTAGTTTTTAGAACTTCTAGCCAGCGGGAAAGGGTCAGCTTCTTCTTTATCTTCCTTCTAACAGGCCAAAGACATTTCTGTTTAAGGAAGATTTTTTAGCTGGACTGAGTTGTAGCATGTATATGTTCTTTATTTCTCATTTCCTTTTATTGATACGTTAAAGTCATTGAGATGAGATTTCAAAATGCACTCCTTGATTAATGTTTGATTGGAAAAACTATTATTTGAAGTGGGGAAAACAATAAGGTGGCATCTGACGGGCATTTTCTGAAGTCTTGGTGCTTGTGATCTTGTGGCTAAGTAGCTACTTAAAGAAATAAGAGAAGTATTCATATGGCCATTCACTCTAGAGAAATTAGGCTTCTATCAGCCATGCACAGATATCAACTAACTATAAATGATGGTTAAACCAGCTTTGCCCCACTTTAGATGCTCTGGAGATGGCTTGATAATATGGAGTATCCTGTGACTTTGGGGCAGTGTAGAAACCTAGGTCAGGTCTGATTTGACTGGTCTACTGACCACATGGGACACCGCCACCATCATTTTTTCAGGGCAAGGAAGAGGGGATGGACAATGCTAGAGTTGATACAGACAGCTGCAGAGCTTCATGTGAGCTCCTGGTTATCTCAGCCTGGTATCAACTAAAGCATCTGTCTGGCAAGTAAGAAATGGGGAGATCACCGAATTCCTTCTTCCTGGTCATTCAGGTACCTTTGTTGATATCAGAATGGGGCTTCAGTGAAATCTGGTTGCTTGCACAGAGCTCTATGGCTCACTGGGAGTGCCAGTGGCAACACAGATGGCGAGGTGGTGGTCCAATGGGGCCAATATCGTCGTAACTGAGTCACTTGGACTTTGACCCATTACTTCATGCCACCTCATGGAAGAATGGAGTTTTTTCTGTTTTCTAGCACAGATTTTAGTGGGATTACACACTTCAGAGCAGATGAATTTCCAGAGTTCAAAAACAAGTTTCTGATATTTTTGTATCAAAGCTGTATCAGTCTACAAGAAAAAGAACAGTTGCACAGATAGTACTTAATCTGTGTCTGCAGCTTTTAAAGTTATTTGTAATGCTATACTGAGAGATGTAAGTTTAGGCAAGTGCAATCCACTAAAATGGTTCAAAAGTCATTACAAAACTGGGGGGGGGGGGGTTTGCTGGAATTTTGTTTCTAAAGTGCTTCTAAAGTATAGTTAGTGAAAAAGTTGCTACTATAACAAGAGTAACGAAATTTTGTTACTATTTTGTTATAGTAATTGTGCATTATTACTATAATTGGGCAAATGTCAGGGGCTCCTTTCTCCCTCATTTGTACAGCTATGGGGGGGGGGGACGCAATACAATGGTAGAACACATTTACCATTCTTAGCCCACCACATTTTAAACCATTTCACTTATCCATGGATTTTGGGGGAATTTTCAAATTTTTATAAACAAGTTTTTTTAATTATAATAAAGAAAATAGTTTCTAGTTTGAAAGTGTTGTTTCCTGTTTAGTTGTGCAGTATTTACTTTGAACATAGCGGTTCTACTCAGGGAACTTTTTTTTTGCACCAAAAACTTTGTTAAACGGGTGGATGACAATGTTATATTGGTGGACTGGATGCTATAGCAAAATGTGCTATAATACGATGAACCTTGTGCAAATACAAAGTTTTTGCAGTTCAGTAAACTTTCACCATGTTGTTATGATAGAACCAATTAAAAATTACATTTATAACCCAGGAACAAAAACCATTGTGTAGAATATTAAATTTATTGGAATTCTGGCTGGCTACAGAGAAGAGGGGAAAATCTCTCTGATGCTGAGCACTGCATTCTGGGAAATGGTAATTTAAGACAGGGGCTTTTGAATTCTCTGGCATAGGGCTCCTTGCCTTCCCAAACTACATTTCCAAGAATTCTGTTCTTTTCCCAGTGAAGGCTGATTTCGCCCTCTTTTTAAGCCTCTTCTGATGGTGAGAGGCCATTAATTTAGAGAGGAAAGGCAAGGCACTAAAGCAGCCTTTTTGGCTTTGCTTTCAGCATTGCTTCCTTGCACTGAATATGAAACTGACTATGGGAGCCTTGCGAGATTTACAAAACTAAAATGAAAAAGTTTGGGGTAAGTTTCGATTCTTAAATTTTTGATATGGGCCATGCCCACTTATCAGATATCAATTTGGAAGTACGAATTTAACAAATTTGATCCGACTCACAAGGACTAATGAAAAAATTTCACACTTCACTTCACTTCACTTCATTTCTTAATTAGTCGCTCTCCACCAAGGTGCTCCGAGCGACTTACCATTTTAAATAGCATTTCACAATATAAAACATTCAACATAAAAACCTTTAGCAGTGACTATTTGGCAATTTGATCTGATTACTTAAATGCACAACCAAACAGCCAAGTCTTGAGCGTTTTTACAAAACGTCGCAATTCCGACATTGCTCTAACATATGGAGGCAATGAGTTCCACAGAATTGGAGCATAGATCGAAAAAGCTCTACACCTTGTAGCTTCCAGGTGTACCTCCCTAGGGCCCAGTATGTATAGGAGATTTTCCTGGGTGGATCGAGGTGACCACTGATGGAGAAAAGGAATAAGGTGGTCCCTAAGATATAAAGGTCCTTGGCCATTTTGAGCTCTAAATGTCAGGATCAGTATCTTGTAAGAGATCCAATGTTCTATTGGTAACCAATGCAGTTGTTGCAGAATTGGTGTAATATGGGATCTTACAGATGATCCCATTAGCAGCCTAGCCGCCGCATTTTGGACCATCCGAATCTTCTGGGTGTTGACTTTGAAAGGCCGGCATATAAGGCGTTGCAATAGTTCAACCTAGTGGTGACTGTTGCGTGGATTACCTTGCCAATGCTTCTACTGAAAGGTAGGATGCCAATTTCCTTGCCTGGCGAAGATGAAAAAAGACCTGCTTACTTATGGCAGTGATCCGGACCTCCATTGTCAGTATTGAGTCCAACACAACCCCAAGGCTTTTAACAGTGGCAGACGGAACCAGAACTTCCCCATCGAAATAAGGCAGAGACTGGATTAATTCTGGCGGCTGGCCGGGCCAGCGTATCTCAGTTTTTGCAGGATTCACTTTTAGTCTGCTCGCTCGCAGCCAACTCATCACTGCTTCCAAACACAGCTTAAAGTTCTCAGGAATCGCGGTTGTCCCAGGTTCGAGACGCAAGAGTAGCTGGGTATCATCTGCATACTGGTAGCACTCTATGCCAAAGCTTCGCACCAGTCCAGCAAGTGGTCGGACGTAGATGTTAAATAACAGGGGTGAAAGGATAGCACCCTGGGGAACTTCATAACAAAGGCAGGAGCTCTCAGAGCTTTGGCCTAACCACTCCACCCTCTGACTCCGATCCCGGAGAAACGAATTTACACACACCTAGTAAATATGTGTCACATCAACTGGAATCCACTTTAATGAAGGCAAATGTTATGTTAGTCTTTAAAAATAAACCTATTAGATTGGGAAAGGAACTAATAACTGGTTGTTGGCAAAGGAACTAATAAATATTTTGAAAGAGGATAGTAAATTGTATTTTACAGTAAGGCAAGGCAGTTGAAACAGAAAATAATAACAATAATGATTTTAACAACAACAACAACAACAACAACAACAACTGTTACTATTGCTGTTACTACTACTACTACTTATTACCTGCCTCCCATCATGGATTGAGGTGGGAAACAACAACATATTAAAATATAACATATGCAATCAGTTAGAAACAGATAACACTTAACCTAGTAAAAACATCAGTTTAAAAAAACATATTCCTGCTCTTTGCCTGCACGTTTTTATCAAAGTAAATCTTATAGTAAAGAATCACAGTGCAACCTTCCAATCATTGTACAAAAGAATCCTTATGTTTTAGGATTACATTTTAGATTTCTATTTTGCACTAAAAATATCTATGTTGAATTAGACAAAAAAAACTTGTATTTCTCACATCATTTCCCCACTTTACATACTATTTTTCTTTCTTGGCAAATCATTTTTTGTTTGTTAAGTGATCCTGCAAGGAAAATATATCGTTTCACTTTTCTGCTACCCAATAATTACATAGATATGCAAATATTTTTCTACCTTCTTTTGAAGATTACTTTATGTCCTATTGTGTAGAAGTAATTGACTGAGACAGAAAATGCAGCTTTAACTAGATTTAACCAACAGAGTTTTTCCTGGCTCTGCAAGTTCTCTAAATGAGACACACTTAAAGAGACTTGTTTCTGACAATACTGACTTTCTATCCTGTAGATTTGGATTTGTCACTTACTCCCAGTGGAGAAGTTATTAAGCAGATTGGAGAAGCACTGCCTGTATCTTGTACAATCTCTTCCAGTAGAAATGCCACTGTGTTCTGGTTAAAGGTAAATGTTGGTAATCCTACTATTGTTAAGCTATTTTGCTCTCTTGGCTAATGACCTCCCAGTTTTTATCAGGTTTTTATCAAGAACTCTGCACAAAGTGCCTGAAGCAAGATTTTTTCTGTTTTAATTAAATTTTGATTAAATGTGTTTTCAGGTCTGATGTGCTAGTAGAGGGGAAAGGTGTGACAACCTGCTTAAATCTGATGGTCTGTTTCTAACGCTGTCTAAGAATCGGACATAGTTATGAATACATGTTTCATCTCCTGACATCCCCCTCCTTTCCCACTCTCCTTTATGGATTGCATAGGTGCCTTTGCTTACATTGGCAAAGTTGCCTAGGGACACTCATATGTTCCATGGCTGCCACTGTGGCAAAAACAGCACTGAATTGGTATAAGGTAGCTACCCAGCAGGGCCAAAATAGGTTCAGCCCTGCAGGATGCTATGGAGACAGTCATATATATATAATTTTATCATAGTTCAATACATTTGTTATACATTATTTTACAGCAGATACATATTATTCAATACAAGCTACCATGCTTTAATTTTTGGCATCTACTGTTATTTTTATGCTTATACATATTATCTATCTCTCACCGCTGTGCTCCCCCCCCCCTCCCAAGCCATAGTTTTTACATATCATCTGTCCAAAATTTCCATTCCTCTTGTGGAGGTGCCTTTCCCTCTCTCTTTTTTAATCCTTTTTCAATACATTTTCTCCATACATCATCAAAATACTATGGAGACAGTCCTGCCACTGCTGTAGAACAGAAGCAGGCAGTATAGCTGCCTTTGGGGCCAGACTGGACTACTGCTACTCTGGATTGGCCTCATAGTAAGTGGCCTGTGTAGATGGGACCTTTGTCCTTTGATTTCTTGATTACAGTCTCCATTTTGATCCCATTTTGATCTTGAACTATTTCCATTTTTAAATTACCCAGATTGAAATTACTTTTGTTTTCTTAATATTTAGCTATAATACAATATATCCAATATTGTTTTGGCACTTTCTTCCTTAACTTTCATTGGTAGCTTTACCTTGAAAACTATATATATATATATATATATATATATATATATATATATATGTTTTATATTGTTATGTTGATGGTTTTTAATTGCATTTTTATGGACGTATGACATCGAATTGCACCAACCTGTAACCCACCTTAAGTCACCGTAAGGCTGAGAAAGGTGGGCTATAATTTCGTAAATAAATAAATAAATAAATATAATGAAACAGACAGGTTACATTTATTTAATTATGTATGATCCTCTGTTTTATGCTTTTTAAGCCCATTGCATAGTATAAACGGGCATTCAGTAATTATTTAAACCACTGCTGAAAGGATTGTATGTTTGGATACATGAAATATCTATTTCATATTTATATGGCAATAATAAATAAGGATGGCTGACAATATGGATCTTGAAATTTAGTCAATAATGGCTGTCCCAAAACATCTTTGCCTGTCTTTCCACAGCCATAAAAAGGGTAGATCAATTAACCACTAGAAAATGAAAAACACTTCTCAGGTCTCACAGCTCAGAAAAAAGTAATTCAGTAAATACAGAGATAATTAATTGAGAATTGATATGTTTTGACAATATGGTTAACATCATTTGAATTCTGACCAATGTATTGATTTGCTTGAGTGCTGCCATTTATTTCGATAACAACCATGCAGGTAGGATACATTTTACTGACAATAAACTCTCTGTGGACAAAACACACAGCCACTTTTCCAATTAACTTCAGTTAATAGGGAAATCCCTCACTTTTTGAAATCTGTTATATGTATAGCTGCAACAGTTCAAACAATGAGGTGCACTTCAAGAGCAAAACAAATCCATTTGTACAGTTATAGAATCATAGAATTGGAAGAGCCCACATGGATCATCTAGTCCAACCCCTTTCCATGCAGGAAAAGCACAATCAAAGTACCCTTGACAGATGGCCAACCAGCTTCCACCACACTCTAAGGCAGTAAGCTCCACTATGAACAGCTCTTACAGTCAGGAAGTTCTTCCTAATGTTTAAGTGGAATCTCATTTCTTGTAATTTGAACCCATTGCTCCGAGTACTAGTCTCTAGTGCAGCAGGAAACCAGACTGCTTCCTCTTCCATATGACATTCTTTCAAATATGTATACATGGCTATCATGTCTCCTCTCAACTTTGTTCTACAGGCTAAATATACCTAGCTCTTTAAGCTGCTCCTCATAGGGCATGTTCTCCAGACCTTCGATCGTTTTAGTTAACCTCCTCTGGACACCTTCCAGCTTGTCAATATCTCTTTTAAACTTTTGTGCCCAGAATTGGACACAGTATTCCAGGTGAGGTCTTACCAAAGCAGAATAGAGAGACATCATGACTTCCCTTGATCCAGACACTATGCTACTTTTAATGCAGCCCAAAATCCCATTGGCTTTTTTATCTGCTGCATCACATTGTTGGCTCATGTTCAACTTGTTATCAGTGAAGACTCCAAGATATTTTTCACCTGTGGGCCACGGACCACCAGTGGACTGTGAGGACAAAAATCTGGTCCACAAGCCTCCTTCCTCTTCACATATTTATTTTATTTTATTTTATTTCCTCTCCTTTCATGCCGCCTGCCACTCCTTCCCTGTCGCTGACAATGGCATATGTTCTGTCTCAGAAACTAGAGCTGATGTGGTCTATCCAACACAATTTTCTGAATTGGCACCCCAAACTGAATCTAAAGTTGACCAAAACCTGATTCGTAACCCTTTTGGTACTAATGTTGGAGAGGGGTCATGGTCAACGTGTCCCTGGTCAAAAAAGGGTTGGTAACCACTGCACTAGAGCATGGATCCACTTTAAACCTAGTTTATGCCTCCTGCAGAATTCTTGGGCTTGTAGTTTTGGAGGGGGCTTTAAACTGCTCAGCCAGACAAGTCCTAGGCCTCACTTAACTACAAACCCCAGAATCCTGCAGGAAGCAGAAACCAGATTTAAAGTGGATCCATGCTCTGGTGTGATGAGGCTGCTTGTGTAGCATCTTAAATTTCTCCTTGATGAAATATATCTTTTTAGTTTTGGCCAACTCTCTTAGGTCGTTTTGAATTCTGATCCTGTCTTCTGGAGCATTAGCTAGCCTTCTTAATTTGGTGTCATCTGCAAACTTGATGAGTTTGCCCTCTAAATCTTCATCTAAGTCATTAATAAAGATGTTGAACAGAACTGGGCCCAGGACCGAACCCTGCAGCACCCCACTAATCACTTCTTTCCAGGATGAAGAGACACCATTGGTGAGCACCTTTTGGGTTTGGTTGCTTAACCAATTACTTTACACATCGCTTATTTTTCTTCTTGTTGTTGACACTGTTTGCAGTTGTGCTTTCAGTATTTCATTTTTAAGAAACTCCCATTTATTTAATTCCTTTCTCTTTTAGTATTCCTGTCCATGGAATCAAGCTCAGTATTTCTTTAAATTTCCTGAAGTCAGCTGTCCTAAAGTCTGGAATGCACGTTTGATTTCTCTTAGTTTCCTCTGTATCATAAACTCCAGGAACACATGGTCACTGTCACCTAAGGAGCCCACCACTTCCACTCCATTTACCAGATCCTCATTGTTGGCTAGGATCAGGTCCAGAATAGCCTCTTGTTGCCTCTTCTGCCTTCAGGACAATAAAATTGTCTGCAAGGCAAATGAGGAATTTGTTGTACTTTGTACTTTTGGCAGTGCTTGTTTTGCTCTGTGCCTTAGCAACTTGTCAGGAAATTATCTTGGTTTGGAGGCAGCAATCACAGAACAAACTTGCAACTTCATTACATTGGGGCTTTTGTCCCATCCTATGCTTCCAGGATGGAGCCCACCAGAGCCCATCATATGACATGGGGCTCCATCCTGGCTTCATCTTGGCAGCATTGTAGGATGAAGCTCTGACAACATGGATGGCTACCAGTGTTCTCATTACCTAAGCAGGGAGCAACACTTGGAGAAGGTGGGGAGCAATGGAAGTAGGCTATGCAGAGCATTTAATGCCAGTTTCCCCCATTGCCCAATGGATTCCCTTGCTGTCTCCTGGCTTAAGGACCTCCATGTGATGAGGCCCTAGAGGGGAAATGTGGCTAGCTAACAGTGAAAATTCTAGCAGATGACAGCTTGATGATTACAATGTTATTCTAAACTGCATTTTTGTTATTTTAGCACTACCTCCTGCTTTTTTTAAAAAAATGAGGTCTTTGGAGTTTGGAATTTGAACCTTGTTAGGGAGAGTGAGTAAATGGCAGTAGTTGGTGAGGTCAAAACCCAAACCTAAGTCCAACTATTCTTAAAAAAATTCTTAAACACCTTCTTAAAATGGTGAAGGTGTTTTATTTTTATATAGCATTACATATTAAATATGACTTTATTTGGGAATCAAAGATCCTTCTAGTGTTTACATAGTTGGGCTAAAAGTGTGCATTTTTGATATGTCCTATTTAGTTTCCTCTGATTAATCATCCCATTTAATTTCCTTTGCTTTATCAGGACAATACCAGAATGCGCTCCAGTCCATCTTTTTCAAGTTTACAGTACCAAGATGCTGGAAATTACATCTGTGAAACTACTTTGCAGGAGGTTGAAGGATTAAAGAAAAGGCAAATACTTACACTGATAGTACAAGGTAATATTCATACCAAGCATTATATAATTTTATTGAGTATAGTTCCTATTTTTGTTCAAAATGCCAGCATAGAAGCTGGAGGTCCACCTAAGCCTAACCAAGAATAAAATCTTGTGTTTGACAAAGATTTCAGGGAATCGTTATTGTACAGTTCAAACATTTTATCTATTGGTCTTTCTTACATTAGATATGAATTTTTAGCAGCACAATCCTATGTGTATTAAGAATTAAAAGTTCAGTAGACTTTATTATATAATTTTTGCATAAATGATTACACCCTATATGCATGTTTTGAATTATATTGTTTTAAAATCCCCTACAGATGTCATAGTGAATACAAATTAAATTACTTTTATCAATTTTTATTTTTAAAGGAAAACCTCAGATCAAAATGACAAAGAAAACGAGCACAGATGGATCATACAAAACTATATCCTGTCATGTGGAGGGATTTCCCAAACCAGCAGTACAATGGACTAGCAGTGGAGGTGTCATAAATAAAGCAAGTAATTTTCTCATTACTGTTTCCATATTGATTTAAATTGCAATAAAAAAATCACAGAGAGGAAGTCAATCCAGCAATTTTTTCCATTTATAAACCTTGGTTATGATATGTTATCTATAACCAATCGTGTTAGACAATTCCTTTAAAAATAATTTTAAAGTACTTTGAAATCGGCAAGTATTTATTCATGGAGATCAAAGTTTTGGGTTTTTTTTACTAAAAAGACATTACAGAATAATTGGATATAATATAATTTTTAGATAAACATAATGAGAGACGTGCAGATTTTCTAGAAAAAGCATTTGATCCTTTGGACTGGATCTTCTTATTTGCTGTGGTTACTAACCCTACCTAGATTAGGGAGATATATGATCAACAAGCAGCAAAAACAGTAGCAAATGGAGAATTGACAAACAAGTACAAGATACAGAAAGGGTCCAGACAAGGATGCCAGCTATTCTTTTTAACATTTGAGGTCACTTTGAGGGCGATTAGAAATGAAGAGAAAAGTAAAGGCATGAAGAAAAAGAAAACTGATGTAATGATATTTCTTGAAGAGCTGGAACATTATCAAGCAACAAGAAGAAAAAACATAAAAACATAAAATGAGAATTACATTGTCAAATAAAAATTTGTTGCTGTTTCAAGACAGTTAGGAAAAAACTGGAGGGGGATTTGGAGAAATGGAATACATTTGAGATTGTCTTTACTGGGAAGTATGTCAACAATCAAAATTAAGGGTTTTTTTTTCCAGAGATCTTGTTTCTTTTTCGGACAATACTGTGGTTTGTTTGCTTGTTTGACCAATGACACACTACTCAAACACTGGTAAAAAGACCTGGCTGGGCAGAAGCCATGTATAATGTACCAATCCTTCAAAATGTGAATGGGGAGGTTCTGGGCTTCCCAGAGCTGAACCTGTACTACAGAAGGACACGATCTAATTTCAGTATTGAACATGACTAGCAACATTTAAAGTACATAAAAAAACCTCTGTAGCTTTGAATTCAAATGTGGAATTTGAGGTCAAAATTTGCACAGATGATGAGCAGTTTGGGAAAATATAAGCATAGTTCCTGAAGATAGAGATAGAACATATCAAGTGAAGGAATGTATGATATGGATCGAAAACCTTTGAGTTCAAAATTTGGAAATAATGTGAACTAGTGGACTTTAAAAAATTACTGTCTTTTGATTTGTACAAATTATGTACAGATAATACCTAACCCCAGAAATACTTTAAAAATGTCTTATGAAGTTCAATGGATTATGTTGGAACTTTTTCAATGGATTATGTTGGCAGGCACTTTTTCCCCATATGTGGTGGTCCTGCAAAGAAGCACAAATAAGCATTGGAAATGAATTTGGACATCAATGCAAGATATCTTTAAAAAAGAATCCATCTAATTCAGAAACTGTTATTGTTGGGATTTGCAAATGGCCAAATTAAAGGGCTATACATTATAGAATTTTAGGAATAAGATTGTTTTATGCTCAAAACTGGAAAAATACAGATCTACTAGCAAAAAGAAGAATGGATTATAAAAATCTTTGTAATGGTAAAGACTGATAAACTATATTAAAGAAAAAAAATCAGTGAATAATTTTCACTGAAACAATCAGGGCCAGGTAATCACCTCGCAACAAAGGATTCCCCCTGGCAGTAAGCAGCCAGACCTTGAAGCTGCAAGTCCATTAAATGCTGATCAAGGTGGCTAATTGCAACATTCACACTTGCCTCAAACAGACAAGAGTTCTTTCTCCCACCCTGGACATTCCACAGACAAATAAACTCCACTTTGCCTAGTTTCTAACAGACCTCACAACCTCTGAGGATGCCTGCCATAGATGTGGATGAAATGTCAGGAGACTCCCAGGATAACTCCCAGGATAACTCTTTAAAAGTGTTATTGATTCTCCCATTTCCCGTAAATGAATAACTATATACTCAGTGTATGTATAACACTGTATTAATCTAATTGAACAAAAAACCAATGTGTGCACACACATGCAGGTAGTTGTTCTGTCCTTTCAGTAATCTTCTCAATTGTTTTTCCAGACAGAGGAGACTAAGTATGTGAATGGAAAGTTTGTTAGTAAAATCAAAATAGCACCTGAAGAAAACGTTACACTAACGTGTATTGCAGAAAATCAACTAGAAAGAACTGTAAATTCTTTGAATGTATCTGCTAGTAAGTACATTTCTTTTATTTACTTCGTATTTAATTTGTTGATCATAGCAAAATCTGTTACCATTTCTAGGCAATTTGCACACAAGTACTAAAACAGACACAACCACAGCTAAAAGGCTTTGTAATGAATTTTACAAGCAGGGAAATATTAGTGCAAACAAGTAGGTTTCCTAAAATTGTTGATCATTATAGAACATTCTGTCAAATTCTGGAAGATACATGCCACTCCTACAAATATAAGCCAGGCCTGGGAAGTAATATATACACATTTCTCTCCCACTGCAACCAGTCTCCTAGGCATCCTAGTCTGGAGCTATTTAGGACTTTGTCTGCCACCAACAGAAGCTTGGTTATAACTTGGAAGCACATTTTCATGTGTGTTTTGTGAAACCTGTTTTAAAATGTGCAGAGCAGGACAGATTCTTGTATCATTTTCTCACCTACTTTCACATAAAATAGCCATCACTGTTCCATTTCTCTCTTGAGTGACTGTATGCTGGAATGTTTTGTACAAGTCACTTTATTATCCTCAGAGGAGAAGAGGGAGGCAAACACTTAGCAACTACCGCAACCTCTCAGAACTATGTTGCCATGGTAAATTTTGACACTTGTTCCTTTTTTGGGAAGACTCCCAGAAATGCAAATTAGACTAGCTATAACACACTTCTTGTTGTCAAGCCTCCATGCCACAGAAATCCGTAGTAACTCAAGGTTTTATCAGTGCATTAGTTTTTCATCTGCTGTTTTTTCCCCATGCTGTTTTCAAATCTATCGTCATCATCATTTTAAATATTTAGTTCGGTCTTTTAACAAGTTGGCATTTCTCTTCTGTGCAAGACCATGAGAACAATCCAATAGATTTTATTTATTTATTTATTTACAGTATTTATATTCCATCCTTCTCACCCCACAGGGGACTCTGGGCAGATTACAATGTACATTTACATGGCAAACATTCAATGCCATAGACAGTCAACGTATATTGACAGACACACAGAGGCTGTTTAACATTCCAGCTTCATGAGGGTATTCTGGCCATCAAGGGAGCTGTTGCTTCACCATCCATTTGTGACACTGATGGAGTACTTCCTCATTCTTTTGCTTGCTTGCTGGAAATTTTATGGTGTCGTAAATTAGTTCAATTAGCCTCCACGCATAAGCGGTACCTAAATTTCCTACTTGACAGATGCAACTGTCTTTCAGGCTGCAAAGGTCGACAGCAAGCTACACAAATGGTCAGAAACTAGATGGAACATGGAAAGGCTAGAAAAGCCCACTTATCCATATCCCACACCAAGCTGGCGTTATTTCTAACAATTTCCCACTCCTTGTTTGAAGTGGAAATAATGTACACATAAAGTGGCAAACCACTACACAGCCCAACTCCCCCCCTCCCAAAAAAAATTAGTATTTTTCTAATTGTCTTGGTCTTTAAGCCTGTTCCTGGGGTAATTTAGGGTGTTGAGTCAGAAAATTACACGGGATAGACTCCATCAGCTCTAGTTTCTTAGATATGTTTATCATGATTTCCTGTGAGCAAGTAGATGAAGACAGTTATATGGCGTATGTTCTGGATTTCAAAAGCTAGAGTTGATAGGAGGGAAACTGGGTCTATATTTTGAATAAGCAGGTCAACTATAACCAAAATCAGGTCTATTGTATGATGCACCAAAATGTATGATGGCCAGTGCTATTAGCCTAAGGATTGAGGACACACATTCCTTTTCATCAAGATAAAGAGCACAAAGGCATGATCAAAAAGACTTTAGCTAAATCGTCAGGTATTAGTGATGGAGCTCGATATTGGTAGTTTTGTTTGATGAAGTCATTTCTCAAAAACCTGCCTATTAGCACCCCAACGGAAGGGTTTCTAATACACTGCAGATTGGGGTTCCTGGAAATGAGTCTGTAGAACTCTCCCATTCATGTGGCATGTTGGGAACTGGAGCAACTTCTCAAGGTTCTGCTGCGACTCCTCGTCTTCATGTTCTCTTTGACTGGGAGAGCACTGGAGACATCAGTAACCCAATCTGGATTACCTAAGATATACTTCTGTTGGGCACTGCCAGGCTAAAAAACAGGGTTTTAGGATTGCATTCAATTATAAATGGCCACTCAGAAAATCCCCAAAATTACAAGATCACAAGTCCATGTGCGATCTTGTAGTTACTGAATACAGGTCTTGCATCTGTATCTACACCTTCAGAAAGGCATTACAAGTAGTCCCCAAGTTACAAACAAAATAGGTTCTGTAGGTTTGTTCTTAAGTTGAATTTGTATGTAAGTTGGAACAGGTTCAGAAGATTTCACTTTGCTTTCTATCCCTGTGTTAACTGGATTTTGGAAAATTTGGCTTGTTGTAGAAACAAGGATTGGTGAGAAAGCTTCAGTGGAGACATCTTTCCCTCATGACAACTCTTTCAGGAGTGAATGTCCTTTTGTAGGAGTAGATTTCTCTCACTTCCTGTTGTTTCACCCCCTTTCTTAACTGTGAGTCATTTGTAAGTCAGGTGTTTGTAACTTGGGGACTGCTTGTATAGCCTTTTATAATGCCAAAAAGCCATTCAAATGCTGCAGGACTACTAAATTATAGTATCACGGGGAATAAGGTGTTGTTATGTGGGCTAACTGGGGTTCCAAACACTTGATGTATATCATCTCCAGAGATAATATACATGCCTACAAATTGAGGAAAATTCCAATGACTTTCCTCAGTCTACCCCAATATACTAAATTGTTTTAAATGTAATAGTGGGATTTCAATGTAACTTAGTAGCACTCAGTTGATTATCCCCACATCCTTCTCACATCTCAAGTGCCTGTAATTAGGCAAGCTTTTCTGCTATATTGTGCTAATAAAAAAATCAGTGATTATTAAAACTCATACAGTTACTCAAAAACAGACTGAACAATGGTTTTCCAAATGAAGATACTGGATGATCAGTTTATTGTGAGTAGTTTGGTTAACATTCATGGACTAGGATGGAACCTTTTAGTCTCCCAAAATTCATATAACTATAGGTAATATACAGCATTGTCACCTGTATAGCTCTAAATAGTTATGCCAGGTTTCAGCAATTTGTCATGTTTTCATGTTTCCCCATGAGAAAAAAGAACAAAAAAGCCACAAGAAATCTATTGATTTTTGCTTTGTGATACTTTTTTTGTTGTACCGAATGTAACGTACTGGAAGAAAATGTCCCATTATATTTTTCAGCAAAATGTGATGCAGGGAGCAGAAGTCACATGCTCAGGTTGTCAGTAGGATGACATTAAGGGGACAGTGGAATTAATTGAGGGCTTGATATACACATTATTATAAATTTGTTTTGCTTTACTTATTTCATTTTATATTTACTGACTGCTGGGTAAAACACGCTTGACTCTTTATGCGCAAAACATTTGTTGGACATAAGGTCTTTGTATAACTTGGAAATTCAAATATATTCATCCCAAGTCATGAGGAATAAGCTATTTTATGGTTCCTAGTCTCATTCTGAAGAAGCTGCTGCCCCACCCTAAAATTATCCTTGAAACTGGCTGGTTTGAAGTCATTATTATGGAGAATGTTTCTACAGCAATACAAATATTGGCACAAGTCACTTTTCAGTGGCATTTGCACCATATTCATTCCATTATCACTAGAAGGAGAACCTTTTCCTAGAGTTTGTTTTTTCTTTGATTTGGTTTTGGAAAAGTACTAAGGTTGGGTAATATAGAAACACTATTCTGGGTTCATGACATAGTGTGAGCATGAAAGAGAAATTTCCTTTCAGAAATTTCCTTTCAGAAATTATATTTTGTCCCAAAAATGTTTGGAAGACACAGTCCCGTTCCACACAACTGTATGAAATTCACATTGAACTGGATTATATGGTAGTGTGAACTCAGATAACCCAGATTAAAGCAGATATTGTGGATTATCTGCCTTGATATTCTGAATTATATGTCTGTGTGGAAGGAGCTACAGTTTCACTCCAAGAAGCAATTTCAGTGGGATTTAATGCTTCTGAGTATTCCTTATACAAAATGTGAATATTTTCTAACCCTGAAAATTTGCTCCTCTTTCAATGTTTTTAAATCCTAATTGAAAACTTCCATGTTTTCTAAAGCTTTTTGAGTTGTAGTATAAAATTGGTTCACCAGCCTGTATGTTTAGATTATATGTATTTGTCACTTTTCTGTCTCTGTATTATTTGGGGAGGGGGGGGTGTATTATATCTAGATAATCTACTTTATCCTTGTATTGAAATTGTTTTTTATTTGCATTACTCCTCCATTCTGCTGTGTGTGCACATGCATGCACTTTTTTTATTTCATCCCATTGGCAGTGCTGGCTTTTTGTTTTGTTATTTTACTTATATAGCATCATGTACATCAATAGTGCTATACAGTGGGCACTTGGTACCCAAGACATAAACACACAAGTGGCTGCTCAGGTGCATTATATAAAATGACATACTAAAATTGCATTCTTATATAAAATGGCAGAATTAAGGTTTGCTCTTGGGTTTTGTTTTTAGCATTTCCAAGCAGTAGACAGTTGAATCCACAGATGCAGAATCATAAATAAACAACAACCACAACATTGAATGCAGTGAATGTGTGATAAACCATAAATCGAAGTATATATATATTAGAGATGATGAGAGAATTGGGCATAACAAATAAGGAATAAGTAAACAGCTACTATACAAAAAGCAAGTTGCCTAGACAGTGTAACCTATAGCTTTTCAAACCTATCCGTTCTTTCATTATTAATCTTTAGCTGGTAAAATTTATCTTCTGAAACTAAATAGAATACCCCCATGCTGTTTACCTTCTCTGGGTCAACTTGATTTACAGTAGAATTTACAGTAAGGAACAATGCCCATGAATTGTGCAGTGTATTTCTCAGCCTGCTTCACGTGTGGGTTGATCAAGGGATGTTTGCATGAATTCACACAAAGATGTGAAATCAACTCATATTCTACAATAATAAAGGATTGAAAAGTCTGCAAGCAAGACAGAGAAGCTTATAAATACTCCTCTAACTAATCATTAGTAAGATTATACTTGTCATTTTTGAATGAAGCCCTTTCATATGTTACATTATGGAAATATATTAAAAATTGCTGCCTAAAAATAAAAAAGCATATACCATCATTTTAGTTGGTTGTTGAATGCCGCCTTAAGTATGAACTTTTGGCTCAGCTGGGGGAAAAAATATATTGTTATTTAACACAACAGACTGGAGTTTCAAAAATGATTTTAAGCAGGTTTAAAAATATTTTTATTTTATTTTCAGTAAGTATTCCAGAATCTGATGAACCAGAAGAAAAAAGTGGTGAGTACATAAAAATGGATCACTACTTATTTAAAGAAAAGGCTCTTTTTTCATTATTTCTAACCTGCTCCATTGTCGGAAAAATAAAACTAGTCTCTCAGTTAAAACTCATATTTTAAAATTTAAGTGTAGAACTTTAATTCTAAAACCAATTGCTATTCATAATTGCCATTAAATAAATAGGAATTTGATACATCACCATTGACTCAGTGGGTCTAGCAACTTGCTTTAGGCCTGAAGTATGCAAGTTTGGATCCTAGTTTAAACTTATGACTTAGATTCACCGAAACCAAAGGGACATACATTTCTCATGCAGTAGGATGCAAAACCCAACATTGCGGGTTTTCTGACCCCAATGAGAATTCCAAAATATTGCAGGATATAGAAGTGCCTCGAGTCCAAAAGAACTTGATACCGCTTTATCAAGTTTTTTTGTATACACTCATGTAAAGTTCATCCAAACATTCAGAGCCCCCAAAAATGCAACATGGGATGCGAGTAAACTAATATCAAATAAGATGGAAAAACAATGTTCATTCTTCTATTGTGAAATATTTTTGGAACTCAGGAGTTCCCCCAGCCAGGAATCAAGCCCCCCTGCCCTGGAATAAATTTGATTTCTAGATAGGGGTCAACCTACTGACAATCTGAACACATCACTTCTGTTTCATTTTATTATGACTTGCTTGTGAAACCTGCATGAACCTTTTGTTTTATCCCTGTATGTTGTATTAGTGAGGAAACTACAGTATATCAGTGAACAAAAATTAATCTACCTTTTTGTCATTTGTACCTAGCAATTTGCTGAAATTTTAAGACATTGGCTATTTTACCCTCTACAAACATAGTTACAGAAAGTCTGTTCCTATGTTCAGTTGCTTAGCCAAATATACAACTATATCTAGTGAATGGTGGGAGGCATGCCTCCATCTCCTAAGCCCATTGGTTTGTATGTGTTCTTGCTGCTCTTGAGTGAAGAAGGAAGAAGAAGGAATCCGTATGCTGCTAACTATCCTAGTTTTTCTACAAGAGCAACCAAAGCAAGCTCAGTGTATACAGTATGAACCCCAGATCTATGGGACCAGTGTCGTGTCATTTAATGTATCCATATCTGACAAATATGTCTTCTCGAGATATTTTATAGACCAGTGGTTCTTAACCTGTGGGTCACGGACCACCAGTGTGCCGCAAAGATGAAAAACTGGTCCATGAGCCCCCTTCCTCTTTATTTTATTTCCGCTCCTTTCATGCGACTTGCCACTCCTTTCCTGTCACTAACCATGGCATATGTTCTGTATCAGAAACTAGAGCTGATGTGGTCTATCCAATTCAGTTTTCTGAATCAGCACCCCAAACTGAATCTAAAGTTGACCAAAAACTTATTTGTAACCCTTTTGATACTATTGTTGGAGAGTGGCCCTGGTCAATTTGGTCCCTGGTCAAGTTGCCCCTGGTCAAAAGAAAGGTTGGGAACCACTGTTCTAGACCCTCAGCATGACTCATGATATGTTTTAGTCAAAAGCCCTTCATTCCCATAGGGTTCACTATTATCTACGGTTTCATGTATCCTGTATGCACAGGAAACCCGTGGGTATGGAGATCGTACTGTATATGCAAATATTAATATATGCAAGTGATAATGTCATAGTTTGTCTGCATAGTGAATCTAGTTTCCTGTGAATTGTGCAACAGATTGTGAGACAAACAGATAATATTTCACAACCTAGTGCACAAGAGTTAAGATTTTCATGAGTTCCATTGATTTCAGTGGGTCTGCTGCAAGTATGACTAAATCTGAATCTAACTTAAGGTGTATAGAAAAGGTAAGCAAAGATTTTATGGAAGAATAAAAGCCCTTACACAAGTTCATATTATTACTAATCTTAATCAAATGCTATAAGCTATGGAGTATAAGGCTATAATTCTCAAATCATTTCCTCCAAAAGCTGCAATATTAGCAGTTCTGATACCCAGTTATGAGTGTTTAGAATAGTCATATAGCTGCAGGCTGAATTCTTAATAGACACTTCAAAATCTCTTAGGCTCGAGATCGTTGTTTCTCTGTATTTTGCCTGAATTTTCTTCCCATTCTTTTATAGCAAGTTTCAAGACTGTGGGGGAAGGAACAGGTAGCACTGAAATTATCCCTTTTTTTGCATTTTTCTTGAAGTGCATATTTATGTATACATTTTACCAAATTTACACACTGACTAAAGCATGCATGTGCATTCATTTTTAAGTTGCGCACATTTTGGTCATTTCCCTTTTGAAATGCACACTTTTTATGCATTGCTTTATTTAACCAAAATGTGTATATTAACCATACAAGGAGCATTTCATCTCACAATGAGGAATGCAAAAAGACAGTCCAGGTTGTGATCCTCCAATTGAATGTAATTCTTTTCCATCCCTAAGTTTCAATAAACATGTTTTGAGATGGGCACTTATACAGTTCTTATATTGCATTAGTAAACTATCAGAAGTGGTTTCTCTGTCTTCCAGCAACAATAAATGGGATCACAGAAGTGCTATAGAGGAAATTGTATTAGAAGTTCAGAAAGTTATGTTTTTCTAGTCCTATCAAATTTGTATGCTTTTCACAATGCTTTCTTAAAATCTACTCCAGTTTAGAAATACTTCTAGATGTGCATAGTCTGTAGTGCGTTTCTTTCTCGTGCTTTGTTTGATCAAATGTTTTCTTCTTTTGTTCTAGATGATAGTATGGAAAATGTTAATGACCAGGCAAAACTAATAGTAGGAATCGTGGTTGGTCTTCTTCTAGCAGCTCTGGTTGCTGGTGTTGCTTACTGGCTATATGTGAAGAAATCAAAGTAAGACTTGACTAATAAAATTCTTAATGTTCTACTGTTATAAAAGATACACTCTCACCAAAGAAGAAGGTAATCCATAGACAAGGTGGCAGGGCTGCAAATACACTCTCTGTCCAGTTGCTACAAAAGTCATTTCTGACAGGGAAAGCTAGAACCTAAAAATGTAAAAAAAAATTATAATACAAATCCCAGAATTTCATCTGCCAGCCAGCCATTTCGGACTATCTTCCAGGATGATTTCTGGAGCACAATCTGAAATAACATTTGTATCCTATGGGAAGGAACATGGAAAAGGGTATTGTTGACAAATGACCTTAAAGCATTGACAGGCTGGTATGAGAGCAGGTTCTTTTCCCAAGGAACTAGGTCCCAAACCATCAGGCTAATAAGTTAGGACAATTTGGAGTTTTGTAGTTGAGTTGTCATGTAATATAAAGGGGTTACATGGGGAGACCTTTGTCTTCCTGGAGACTCCAGTGTTGTGCATTCATTCAACAATGTCTCTGGCAAGTTATTCTTTAACAGGAGCTCTTCAGAACCAAATAAGCTTACTGTTTACATAAATCCAAGTTTCTTCTATATAGTCTTTCCTTGTGTTTTTGCTTATGTGATAGTAACATACGATTTTGGAATTACTAAGAGAACTTTGGGAGAATTGTTGCTTGTTGTTTTTTTAAAAAAAGATAATTTAACATGATACCATTACACATATTTTTCAAAGAAACTTTTATCACTGTCATGGCATAGATACAGGGAAAGTATGCTGGGTATTACATGAAATATTCATGTATATTACATGAAAATATACACTACATTATTTATCCTGTTTTAATTATCTCTTATTGGTATAAAATGTCAGTGTGGTAAGTGCATTATGTGGGCTGCATCCATTCTTCCCCAACCTGCCCAACTTCATTTTGATGTCAGGAACATTTGTAGATGAAATGGTCCCAGATACTCTCTAAGGATCAGGTGTCAAACATTCCCCACCACATCATTTTATGTGGTCGACGGGGCTTTCAATGTCAGGTCAACATAGTTACATTTATACAGCCTTACAATTACAATTGGCCCTTTGAAAGCAACAATAAGGGTGATGTGAAAATGTTTTTGACACCTCTGCTCTAAGAGATATTGACACTATTTTGCCATAGATTGCCATAGGTAATTTAGGCTCAGGAAACGAATTTTTTAAAACTGGAAGCAACTTGGAAATCAACTTTTGTGCCACCCAACCCCAAAACTCTGTGATTAATTAAACTAAGAGGTTAAATGTTTAAAGTAACTATTAGGATGGATGTATTAATTCATTACGCCCTGATGGTTCTCATCACAGAGTGGCATGCATTATATCTCCTAATTTCCATGACATGCAGTTAGCCATCGTATGAATAGGTTGCCAAATTTATCTTTAACTGAGACTGTATGTTCACAATCTTACTACACATAGTAACCTTTAGCATTCAAGGGTTTTTAAAAAAATTCTAAGGGGGGTAAACAGGAAGGAATAAGAAGCCTTGTGATATGAGATGGTTGGTTTGCTCATGTATGTTGTGTACAAAATTGCTATAATGAAATAATATTATATTTAGATCTTATGTAGAAATGTGGCAAAATGTGTTGTATTTTTATTTCTCAAAGATGGAGTAAAAACTTCTGTTATTTTGTAATGTTTATCTTGAATTTATCTTTGTGATAAGCTCTAAGCAAGATGTTAATAGAAAAATGTATTCCATTGAATTCTTGTTTGTAAGCCATGTCTCTTTTATAGGTTCAATTTGAATTGCATGAAACACTTTCATTTATTCCAAGTACTGTTTATATTCATGTGTAAGTCAACATATATGTTAATCGAGGACAGGGGCCAAAATTATCAATTATAATATGATCTGTGGATGTTGAGGGTCATTCTGCAGAGAGGAGCCAGCCACTCCTAGATGCCAATACCAATATCAGTTTCCTGCCCCTGCATTCAGAAAGGCCTTTTACCACTGTTCTTAGAGAAGTGATCACTACTTTTTTGATGAGCATTAATCCTTATCAAAAATGGAACCATCCCCTTGCCTGAGTACAGTGAAAAAAGGCAAATAGTATATCACAAGAAAACCTTAAAGAAGCACCAACCTCCTCTACATTCTCAACGCTTCATCCCTGCCACTCCAAAGAAAGTAGGAGAGGTCAGTGTTTCCTATAGGTTTTTCTAAGATGGACTGCTCTACTCAGAAAAAAAGATGGTTTCTTTTTTAAAAAATAAAGTTAAAATACAGTATTTCACCCATAGATAAGTTAACCAGGTTTTTTGCAGATTAATGTTTTACTAAAATGTACACAAGTATTTACAGAAAGTGACTAATTCTTAAAGGTTGGCGATTAAAGAAGACTTTTTAAATTACACTTTTTAATGCGGGACTGAAAAAGCATGTCTCAACTTGAGTCTGTCTCAATTTCCTGTATCTTTCAAGTTTGTCATCAATGAGAAAAGGGAGGGAAATTAGGAATATCTCATCCCGGTTATTTAAGTAGGTTATAAGTGCAAATCCAGCAGTGTTCTGCCTTGCCTTAGATGCAGGAATATTGCTTGGAGAGGTGTGAAGATTTTGAGTTTTCTTGCAAAGAGCCCATCTGTTAATAACTTCTTTTGTCACACCTTTGGGTCTGAATACTGAGTTGGTTGAACGTAAACAGCACCAACCTTTTCCCAGAGATGATCTTGTGTTGAGTCACAGCAAAAAATGGAGAGAGACCATGCTTGATAGTCCTATGCCTGATCTTCACATATTGATAGAAGGCTTTAGAGCAGGCTTCTCCAAACATGGACGTCAGTCCTCCTCTCAAGAAATAATAACAATAAGGGTCCCACTATAAAATTTCTTAATGGAACCTATTAAAAGAATGTTCTATACATTCAAAATTCACATGACTGCTTTTAGTACAAGTGAAAAGGGAATTCTGATGTCATCTGCTTAGAAAAGGCCTCAACTGGCTATCATAATGTCAACTTTCACAAATGTTTTATTTTAGTAATGACTTACAAGGGAGATGTTGCTTGTAGAGCCAGTACATCTTGCCATCCATTAAATTTCAACCATCTCAGCCTTCGTAGAATCATTTTAAGACAGCTTTCCATATCCCACTATCCTCCATTACTGCTTCCAAACTCTGTTACAGACATAAAGATAACATGCTGATAACACTTCATTCCTAAACTCCGAATGAATTTCTCTAGTAGCTCAACTGATGTTGGAGAACATGCAGACAATTTGGAGCTTTGCAGTAGCAATCCAAATACCACAAGGCACATGTTACTCATTACTAGGAAGTTCTGATGGAAATACCAGAACCACCATGTTATTGTGGTGTTACAGAGGCTATGAATTGTAGTTCATCATATCTGGATGATAGAATTAAGCTCTAGAGTATCACTGTAATCCAGATCTGGACAACTTTGTCAGAAATTTGTCTATGGTTCCACTATTTACAAGAGTTAAAGATTGTGTTAATCTCTATGCCATGATCTCTTGCCTATGGGCGGAAGTTACTTGATTGTGCATTCTCCCTTCGTCTCCCACCTATTTTAATTCCCCCTTTCCCCTTCATTTTAGCAACTTGTGAGGTTCCTTAAGATAAATATAGATTTCTGTGCTGTTTTACCACAGTTGGTACAATAGCATTCATTGGTAAAAACCCACTGCTATCCTATTACGATGAATACTAAATACTGTTTTTAAAGATTGAGATCATACAATTCAAGATGTTTAAAGAAGATAATCAAGCTAATACATATTAGTTAGATTATGTTGGGTTCTGCGTAATTTATTTGTTGTTAAATTATGGATAATTGCTATACCTGTCACTTCTGAATAAAACCTAATCAGCTGAATTATCACTGTAGGCAGTCTTCTATTTCCATCATGAAATTGTCTCTTAGTATTAATCATTGTTTCTGTTTTCTGGGCAAACTGTGAGACCATATTTAACAAAATAAGAGTTTCACAGCAAATTAATGCCCAAAGAAATGCAAGTAGTGTTGATTTTTTAAATCCTTCCTGACACACTCCTCAATCACAAAATTTGATATCCACATAGGCTACCCCTCTCAAGCAGTTTTTGAACTATTATTCATATAATCTCTGTCCCCAAAGGGATGTCAACGGAGAGTCTGAGAAGGAGGCAGCACAGAACATTCAAACCCTCCCGAGGCAAGAAAGTTACTTCTTTATGTGTGTTGTGATTTGTAGAATTTCTATTGTCTTGTCATACCCCTGTAACAAGAACTTGATATAATGCCCTAAAAGGATACTGAGATTTTCTACGTATCCATCAAAACATGGTGGCTGGCATTTTACATTGGGGTTACAGATTTATAACCTAGAGTTACAGATCTGTTCCATTTTCGGATATGCTGTATATTCACAATTGTTGCACTAGCGTGATGATCATAGATATCCCCAGAACCTACTTTAAACTCCAGGGGATGTGAGGGAGCTCATTGCCCTGTGACTTGGGGAAGGGAAGGGCTAGCAATGCAGGTGTGCCCCACTTGCACACACTGCAGTTACTTGAGTTTAAGGTGGGTTTCAGGGGCTAATTTCTTAGATCATTCATACTTCTGAATGTGATGTGGGATCTTGGCCATTATTTTTATAGGTGAACTGGAGAAAAATGGACATAACACCCCTTAATTGGCCTTAATTCCTAATACAACTTCAAGAAGCTTGGGATGTGTATATATATATATATAAAACTATGTTAAATTATTCTTTCTGAATGAGAGTTTAAAGGCCTATCTCTGCCATGTCTGTCTGTCTTTCTGTCTGTTTGCTTGTGTGTGTGTGTGTGTGTTAAAAGTTTACAGGCCCCATCTACACTGCCATTTAATGCCGTTTCAAACTGCATTATATAATCAGAGTAGACTCACATATTGCAGTACCATTGTTAGACAGCTTTATATGGCAGTGCAGAAGGGGCCTAAGTCTCAAGTAAAACAAAAAGATGTTTTATGTAAGAGAATGTTTTCACAGCTAGCAAAAGTGAAGAATATTTTAGATGTGCTTGTTTTCAGCGAGCACCTTTTGTAGAATGTTGATGTTTGTGGTTGTTTTAGAACACCAAAATAACTTAATGTTTTGAATGGAAAAATCCATTTTTGTTTTTGGGACTGCACTTGAGGAAAAAAATCAACTAAATACAATACTGTGTCCAGCTATAAGGAGCTGGAAGTGGTTATATCAGAACAGGATGTAGTTCAAGAGATTTCCAGAAGTAATGAAATAAAAGGCATACAACATGGTTGAAAACCAGAAGTGCAGCTATTTTTTATGACAAAATGCCGAGAAAATTATCAGACTTATTCACTTTGCATTATTGGTGTTTAATTGCTTTTTTTTTCACTAAGAGAAACAAGACCTTATAAAATTAATAAGTGAAAAGTTTCTCTTTTCACTTTTTAAATTAATTTGAAAAAGCCAACTAACCTTTTGGTTCATCAGATATAATGTTCATTCATTTTTCAGAGAAGTTGTGTTTTTCCTTAAGAGTGCCTTAGCCATTGCCTATCCAAACTCTAATCAGCCCTTAGGTGTTCTTAGCTGGCTACTATATAAGGTGGATATTCTCAGTCCTTGGCTCACAAGTTTTTTTCTTTTTATGTTAGAGTTGTTGAGTTGAAATTGTTTTTTATGTTTGATCATGGTCATCTACATTGAAACCTTAAGTTGTGGACCTCTTACACATGTTTACCTATTCAAACCCCATTCAAGTGAATATATATAAATAATTTCAAATAGATTGAAGAGCATAAAGGATTAGCTGTTCAGAAAAACAAAAATGAAGTCATTAGGCATTGGAAATTTCAGATTAAATATATAATAAAAAGCCATCTTTTTCACAGAGATGGTACTATGAGTAATGTTGGATATCTGCATCATAGAGATACGTTTTAGGTCTTGGGCAATAATAATAATAATTCCTACCTTGAAGAATAAGCCAAAATTTAGCTTAAGACGTTGAATACATATTAACATAATCAAAACCGCAATTAATCACATCCAAAAAAGTTAAAACTGCAAATTTATTATTTATTTATTTTGAACATTTATATCCCGTCCTTCTCAACCCCTGGATGGCTTATGACTCAGGGTGGCTTACGACTGGCAATCATTAGATGCCAACAAACAAACAATCGCAGTACAAACAATTAACATTAAGTAAACCAACAAGATTATAAAAATACATTAAAATATTGACCATTAAGTATTAAAACATGTGGAAGGCTAGCTGTATTTATTTATTGCTTATCTGTGTTACTATCACACATTCTATTTCTTTACAAATCTCTTTCATTTGGATCATTCAATATTAGTAATATACTTATATTAAACTATCTCTTATCTTCAAAAGTTCTTTTCTGTTGTTGTCGTTCCCAAAAACACATAATGCTTCCGATTACAAATAATTTTTATAACATTTCCCTTTGTTCTTTCTCAATCAGGAATGCCCTCTCTGTAATAATCTTCTTAAAACAGATTGGTGTCACCATCCAATCGATGTATCTTGGCAACAAATTTAAAATTCTTCCTTTTGGCCTTTTGATTTCTATTACAGTTTTCTCTCTGTTTTGTCATGAAGTAATGCATGATTAATTTTTACACAATTTATGAAAAAGTTGTTAATTTTAGCAGTGTATCACAGACCCATTCCTCTGAGCATGTAGGTGGTTTACAGAGCACTTTTAATATAACAGAAATATCACCATTTTAACATCTACTTTTATTTTATTCCTTCATTTCCTATGTATGACTCATTTTTTCTGCCTTTTTAAACTTAAAATCTCACAACAACATCTTTCCCCAAGCTTCTGTATTAATATATACTTTCATATAATATTAACAGTTTTATGCTTGTTATTGGGGATGACAGGGCAATGACATTAACAATTAATTCAACTTCCAGAGACGGAATTCTCAATCTGGCAATAACAACTAATTAGAGACAACCCAGTGTAGTAACAAAATAAATAACTTGAGGAAAACACTGGCATTTCCAGTGTAAGAGCTTATTATCAACACAGAATATGGTAGTTACCGAGGTTGCAACTAAAAAGTGGCAAAATAGGGGCATCATCTTTTCCCTCATAAAGAGCCTGCCACCACCACAACAACCACCAAATTATCTAATGTGTTCTTACAGTTGATCCCATCTTGAGCAGAGGAATCAGTAGTGGTGTTAGATCCGAACAGAAAAAATGGATCAAATTGAGAATGGCTTGAGAGAGTTTTACTTGAGTAAGAAAGACATAGATAGATGTATTCAACTGAGATAATTCATTAGATTAGTAATGTGAAGCCAGGAGAGTTAATGAGATCAGGAATGTGTTATAAAGAAAAACCTGATTGTTAACAATAAATATTAAAGGCAGCACTCAATAAGGTTTGAATGGTTTATTAGACAGAATCACTGTTCTATTCAACCACAGTCTGAATAGTGTGCATAATATATTTTACCCCATGCATTGGCTTTCAGCTACAATGTTGAGAATATAAAGAAGAACCCAACTGGTTCAGACTAAACATCTATTTCAAGTGCAGACAGCTGTATTTGGGGGGGGGGGGTATTTTGGTACAGAGTACTTCAGGGGTCGCACAGGCTGCCAAAAACCAAACAGTAAAATGAATTGCTACTCCTATAGGCTAGCAGGAGAGTCAGCTTTCTCCTTTTGATTTATCTGCTTTCCCTCCTTCCCTCCCTCCCTCCCTCTCTCTCTCTCTCTCTCTCTCTTTTGCCAAAAAATGGGGCAGCTTGAAGGGTTTGAGGAGTAGAGGATCACATGAAGATACTTCAGACTCCAGGACTATGCCTTGCCTACCCACAATCTGGTTCAACATTATATCCACATAATGGCCAACCTGTTGTCCATGGGAAACCTGTGGGCAAAAAATGAATATAATGACAAACATCTGCTTCATGTTCTCGTGAGACAAATACAGTGAAGCATAGATAAATAGTATGGGTTAAGGGAAAAGTGATGCCTAGCTCTTTTTTTACCAGAAAGAAAATCTCAAAGAGCATTACTATTTCTATGGAGACTGCGAAATTGCCGTAGAATTTGATTAGTATTGCTTACATGGATTTGCAGATTTACATCTTAAATCCAAAAACAGCAGTCCTGTGTATGTCTATTCAGAAGTAAGACCCAGCAATAGGGCTTACACCCATACATAGGATTGAGATGTTTTTATCACAGCAATACCTTAGCATACTGCGAAACCTTCTCCACCACAAACTTTAATATGGCCTTGTGGAAACCTGCTTGAGGTCTTCATTCAGTCCATAGGTCTATCTCTATATAAAAACAAGCATTATGACTTCCCGTTTTTGAACAAAATTAAGGGAGCTCATGGACATAGATTTTTGTGACAGTCAGATACATTGACATTTGAAAGACAGATATTTTGTTGCCCCTCTTCTAACTCCAGTAGGAGAAGCTTTGACATGTCAACAGTAGCTATAAACAACAGCATGACATTCACTTTTTTGGAAGCATTTGAGTTTATCCTTCTAGAAAGTGATTATCTCCAGAGAAAAAAAAAAGGCTGAAGGTGGCAAAAGGCCCCAAATAATAGTAGTAACACTGTACTCTTAACTGGAATCCTGTGCATGCTTACTAGCAAGTTCAGCTTGCTTACTGCCTGGAATCATAGAATCCTAGAATTGGAAGAGACCACAAAGGCCATCTCGCCCAGCCCCCTGGTGAAGATGTTTTGTGAATGTAGAGTAACATAACAATGACTTGAATCCTGTTAATGACAAACACTTACATAACATACATTTACATAATACCAGATTATATCTTTTTATATGTTCATTACAAAGTAAGAAATTCACCACCTCTCTCATGCAATGATCTCCAGGAGACTTATTTTCCTCCAGCCCTCTCCTCCCCTGTTATATGATGATCAGGGCAACTAAGAAGTCTAGCTCTACTTCCCTATAGCTGAACACACAACATCTAAGACCTCTAGATGACACTCACAAAATTCTAGAAGATGCCTTTATTATTGTGCATCTAGTTACAGAGACAAAATCATGTATTTCTTGCCTTTCTCCATTCACTACAGGTGAAATTGTTGGAGCCTGTAAGAGTAATGTCAATCCTGCAGAAGAGGAGACTTTGACAGGATGCTATATTCAATCTCCTCATGCAGGATTTTCTTTATGTATTTATTTATTTGCTGTATTTGTATACCACTTTTGTTAGCCCATAGGCTACTCAAGGCAACAATCAGGTACATTGACACTTGAAAGACAGAGATTTTGATAATAATAATTGATAATTTTGACCATTATTATAAAGGAACCATTGCATCTTTGGTCTTGAGAAAAGAAAGCCCTCCTTTTGCTTTATGATCAAGCCACATAAAGCTTTGTGCAGATGGTAGAGTGTGTCCCCAGAAGCATCCACGCGCATATATTGCGGCTTCTGCGGACACACCTTATATCCACACACACACCTTAAATTGTCCTCTAGCAAAACTAGAAAGCTACAAAAGGGGAATTGTTACCGTTATGCACCAAAGGGATTGCTGTATTGATAATTGTGTCTTAACACTTTGGATGTTAGCATTAATATCCCTCAGGTTTTCATAAAATCTGGCTAATGAATTTTTGTGAAGAAGTACAGACTGACATAGCTCATTGATGTGTAAATGTATAAATGAATGAAGGATATGTCAAACTGAATTGCACTTAGTTTATACAGATACTATTATAGAGTGTACTGAGCTAAGGTTGCTCTGACCGGGTGGGGGGCAGAATGATAGCTGAACTGTAAAAATCCTCCTTTGAAGAGAGAAAAAAAAATGAGTGTTTTATTGCTCCAAATGATTGATTACATCAAAAGGCAAGGGCAAAGTAAGGTATCACTATATTTTTGTTTCCATTTTAGGTCAGCCTCAAAACATGTAGATAAAGACCTTGGAAATATAGAAGAAAATAAAAAGTTAGAAGAAAACAATCACAAATCTGAAGCTTGAGAGGGAGAATAAGTCAGTCACCATTCTAGGTATGTGTAAACAACTGTCTCATATAACCTTTCTGTCCTTGGAATAAAATTGAAATGGATTTTGTTCTCTGGATTGCTTTGAAGAGTAGTCTCTGAATGAGAAGTTAAGAAAATTGCATCTGCTCTTTGTTTTGAATGCCTTCTGCAGCTTTTTCAATTGCTTGTTGTGTTTTTCTATGATTGCTAAGGAGAACTATGCTTTAGGAGTACTATACTATGGCCAGAATTCTGTTAGTGACATTTGCTCATGTACGTGTGTGCAAGGTGTTATTTTATAGCCCTTTGTACAATATCCAACTATGCACACACACAAACACCCCCACACAGCTCTCAAGGAAAACCTGCTGTTGCTCCTACTAGAGGGGAGGGGTGGAAGGAGAAAGCCGCTCAGACAGTATAGCTCCAAAGCAAAATAATCCTTCTGTGAGCACACTCTCTGTTACTTTCTGTCTGAGCAAAGATGAGGCAGTTTTTCACTCATTATTTTACTTGGTCCCCACTCCCTCCTCTCCACAGATAGGGGGCGGCATTGACCTTTCCCTGGTGATAGAAAGCTGTGGAGAAGAGGTATTCGATGGGGAACAGCTAGGAAATACCTCCTTGCTGCCTATAAGAAAAAGTTATACACAGGGCAGCAGACATGAAATTGGACAGAACATTGCATTCTGTGTCTTGATGGAGGATCTCTGCCTGTATATGAAGGGTGTATTTGAAGAATAGTTTCTACCTGGCTATGAGAGAAGCAATTACTAATAGAACATCATAGACCCTGCTTTCAGACATTGTGAGACTAGCTTCACTACAGTCTTTAAAATACATTAGTGCCACAGCATTCCCAGAAACAACACAAGCTCTTTCTTATGAAGCTTACATATATATGGTTCCTTCCCAATCTGATATTCTGATTTTATTACATTCAAATTAATGCATTTCCAATGACCAAGGTATTTGCTATAGTTAAAAGTCCATATTGTGGTTATTATTAAGCCACCAAGAAGGTACACAATATCCCACGATAGCTTTAAGAGTTTGCAAGTTTCTTCATCAGCTAATGATGTTTAATAAGCATAAAAGAAATGTAACTGTGATGGTAGACTAATGTTCTATATACATTTTTAATCTTCCAAAGCTTGTCCTTAGGAATCAAACTGGGAAGAGTTCCCTTATGTTAAAGAGATCAAGCCAACCAAAAATCACATTTTTTATAGGATACTGAAATGATAGGAAATCAGCTTCATCAACAGGACGAGCAGAGGAGATGGCAGCCATACTCATATGTGTCACAGTGACATGATGGACACATTCTGCTGTTGTTAGCGCAGCCACTTCACCTTCATTCCCAGTTGAAATCAGCAAACCTACCGATAGGTTGTTATGAGATGATGAGAAGGAGGAGGAGCTGAGCAAAGCTTGGCAGCAAGGAAAATTGAGCTCCTATGCTTGTGCAGAAGTTGAATGGGAGGAAACTGTTAGCTAAACATAACACCCCAGTAGTATTTTGAACATTTCTTTGAACTGGTCCTTGCTTCTACCTAAAGTAGTTCATTTTTTGTTCTTTGGAGTTGTTCTACGAATTTTTGCAATTTTTGCAAATACAAAATTTTAACAAGAAGCCTTAATGTGAATGAATCTTACTTAAGGATAATAAAAGAAGCAATATACAGGGAACTGTTGAATTTATCTGGTCTTGTTGATTCTGCTGCCACTAGGAAACAGCGTTCATTTACTTTACTTTCTAAAATCCTTACATATGCAAGCAAAACAAAGAAATAAAGAGTTTTCAAATCCTTGTTCCTTACAATTAGGATTCGGATATGAAAATATGACTTCCAAAAGAGAATTTTGGCTAACTCAGCATTGCTGACAAGTCAGCCACTGAGACCAAGACTTCAGAAAAGATAAAACCAGGAACTCAGGAAAAGCAGACAGCCAAGAGGCCTTAAGAACACCTAAGAAAACTAAATGACAGGCAACAAGACCAGCATAGATTCATGATCTACATAGTAACTTGAGGGGTAAGACATAGGAGGTTACAGAGACAGTAAGAGAAGGTCGAAACTTCCTTATATTTTTGTGGCTCCTTTGGATACCATGAAGCCTCATCATTTGCCAGAACATGCATAGAGCTAAAACCGGGAATGATGTGCCATCCATGTCCCCTCCCACAACATCTCCCATCACTTGGATGTGAGTTAGACCCTCGTGCATGGATCAGAGCTGAATGTAGTTACTACGTTCTAATGAGCATTTTGTAGCTGTTCTAAACTTATGGGGTTACAGAGACTTCTTCAGTCCTTCACATTAATTGTACAAAGGGAATGTTGAGGGGCAAGGCTTATGCCATCCAGATAAATGCCTGAACAGAACTTCTCATTTGCTTAAATCAGACCAATTCAGAATATCATTTCAGATTGTATTGATTCGTTCCCTACCCTCAAAAGTTATCCCCCCCCCCCTTTCAGCTTGATTAGAACACATTTGATACGCAGGTTTTGCAGTGGTGTATATGAAAGCTCCCAAACAGAGTATCAATACTTTTGAAGGGCATTATACCAAATAGTATCATCTTTTCCAACAAGTCACACTGTCTCATGAACTTCTCACAGATAATTTTAAAGGGTCTAATTTAGCCCTTGGAAAGAGAAGAAAACATTTAATAGTTTTGGCAGAAATTTCTCACATTCTTACAAAATAGTGTCTTCGGTATATTTCTCGTCACTGTTATATTTTCAAATAGGATTCACTTGTTTGCTCGTGTTTTCACTTTTAAGGATGGCATGGTCTGCTTTCTGACTCAACTCGTGTTTACAGCAAGGAACTCCTAATTATAATCTTCAGAATCTACCATTTCCAAATATTTTGTTAATTCATAAATGACAACTCTTTGCTTACTGATGTGAAATCCATATTCAATGAAAAAACTGACACATTCACTATAGTGTATTAACTTTATCATGTGCTAGATTATTTCCCAACTGACCTCCCATTCCTTATTTTCAGAGAATAAACATAGACCAACTGAAGCATGAACGTGGATTGTATTTAAGATATATATGAAGATGTGACGGCTATTCATGGTTCAAGTATTTACACAGACCATTCTATCAAGTTTTCAACAGAATTGACACAATTATCTCAAGCTTTCCAAAATATCAGCAAAACTAATTTTGGCAGCAGCCATGATGATAGGTCACAAATTTGTGTTCCGTTTTGAATATATATTTTTTTTGTAAATGTCTGCACTGAAGATTTCTTTTGGTTTGCCTTTATGTAAATTTTTTACGTAGCTATTTTTATACACTGTAAGGCTTTGTTCTGGGAGTCGCTGGTAATCTGATGTATACTGTAATGTTTTTATTTCCATTGGTTTCCGCACCCCTTCCAGAGGTACATTTCTATTTCTGATTGCTATCAGTAAAGCTCCTACTTTGCACAGCAAGTATTTAATTTATAAGATTGCCTTATTGGAAAATGAGACAGTTCTTTCTCTGTTTTTCAAACACACTTAAAAGGGGGAGGAATGCATCTGTTAAAAGGGAGAGGAAATTAAATAGTTCATAAATAACAAAAATCCCAATCACCTATAAATGACCTGTATATAATTGCCAGAAGTAGAATCAGGTATTAAGCAAGATTCATGTTGTCATGTATACAGATGTCTACTAATAAGTCTTTTTTTAGACAGAAAAATCTTTTTATTGATAGCATTCTGGGAAACTAATTGTTCTTGCAATTCCATGATATATAGTGTGAATGACTGAAATTAAGAATTAGTTCTGAAATATTTTTGTTATCCACTGCCTTAAAAATTATCTTTCTTTTTGATTTTGAAAAAAAATCAGAATTGGAGATTTGTGTATTTTTTTTTGAAGTGGTCATATCAAAGCTGCATTTTTCCACAAAATAGAATATATATTTTTGTGTGTGTGCGTTTTTGTTAACTACACTACAGATATTGCACCTTGAGATAATTTTAGTGTTTTTAACTGGTACATAATTTATCGAAAAGTACATGAAAGTGTAACGATGAAATGAAATCTATGTATCTTTAGTTACATTCAAGATTGTAACTTTATAAACCTGTTTTATGCTTGAGAATTTTTTAGAAGGTTAGCCTAAAAAGAAACATTTGGATAGATCAGGGCGAATAGACAGCAGTATTTAGCAATGTTTCCTCTTTTAGCAGAAGACTAGCATCTGAGAGAATGTAATAGATAGTTTTGATAACGGCAGGAAGATGTTATTAGAATAAGCATCAGATTTCTGTTTACAGATTTATGAGTCAGGAAAACCAGAAGATTGTGGGGAATTAAGTGCAAGGCAAATGGAGGTGGAACTTGTGAAATGTATTTGCCACTTACGGGGGGAAACACTGTTGTACATTTGTAAAATGTTAAATGTCTGGGCAATAGTGACTGATGTCTTAAATAAAAGCTTCCTGTAGTGTATTGGCATGGATGAAATATATGACATGTCCTAGAAATTCAATACTGTATAAAATATGACAAAACAACCCTGTTAAAAGTCCTCTCCACATGGGTTAAGGCTTTATTTGGCAAGGGAACAAAATAATAATCATGGTCTATGTTTAAACCAAAGTTTAAAGGGGGATAAAACCAAAGTCTTTTGTTTTGCATGGCTAAGCCATTTCTGATATCTTTGTAAATAATGTGATTTTTTTTCCTTTTTCCTCCTTTTTCTTTTTTTAGAATTTTGGTTTTTTTTTATCTAAAATTTTTAAGCACCTGTTTTCCAAAATAAAATGTGAACACACACAAAAAGAGATTATAATTTGTTTTGGTGTGAAGGCATCACAGCTTATATGATATTCGATTGAAATGAGGAAAGACAAGGGGCGGGATTTACAATGCAACATCATGTCTTTGAATTAAATAAAATACAAGGATACAAAACTTTCCATTAAGAAAATGAAGCTCTGTTTAAAACACAAATGAAAAGTTATACAATTGGTCAGAGATGATACCAGATTGGCCAGAAATGAAAGTGCTTAACTTCTGCATCCAATGTCATCATGGGAATGGAATAAAACTCTTACCTTTTGAAGTTTTACTGACCATCTTATGTAATTCTTGGAAGTGTTTTCTTCACTGTTCAAAGTTCACATCAGACATGTTTCAGGAATCAAGAATACAAATTAATTGTTGCCATTCATGCCTGGAAGACAATAAAGTGAAGTATGTTTTCACATTCTTGTTTCAATCCAAGAGGAATATGTGTATATATGATGTTAACCTACCATAAAATGTTTTATTTGACCTATAGCCTATTTAAGTGAGTTGTACCTGGGGATGAACAAAAAATGGGGGAGGGGGCAACTTGCTGAGGCTAGGTGTCCACCCATGACCAACGCCTCAACTCTCCCTGGGTGAAACACCTGAACTCAAGGGGAATTCAGTGATATGAGTTGCTTGCTTCAGATGGTCATTTTCTATAAGGGGAACCCTCCCACCGTTATTATTCTTACTATGTTTGTGTTTATTAATACCCTGCTTTTTCTCTCCACAAGGAGACTCAAAGTAGCTGAAGTTTGTCGGAGGAGCAAACCATGAGATTAGAGCCAAGGGCAGTCTCCTTCACAACCCCCCAGGTCCCAGGACCTAGAAAAGCCATTCCAGAGCCCACCCGTCAACAAAAAGGTGTCAAGATATACACCAAGCTCTTATATTCCCCCCACACTCCAGTACGTGCCAGTGACAACCTATTTATAGATACCACCCTTATCCAGTCAATAAAATATCACAGAGTGTGAGATAGGCAAAAAAAATCAGTTAAAGGAAAATTTGTAATGTGCAATGAAGCAACCAACAAAGCTCACACTGCATTAAGAGTGGGAGGGTGGATTGAAAGCCAGAGATGAAAGAGGGTTTGTGAATAGGTGAACTGGCCCTAACCAACCCAATATATGTGCCATGCCTTGGTACATACCTCCAAGCTTTATTAACACTAGGCTCTTCAAACAGAGGCCATTAAAGTGCCCCCTGACCTGTAACATTATTCCCTGCACAGTCTCAGGAAGGTATACTATCATGTCTATCTTTATCTATCTATCTGGCATGTCTCCATCATCATAAGGCAATGAATTCAGACCATGCAAACATTTTCAGGTATGTATCCTTTCAGTCAGTTGGTTTGCTCACATGAACAGGTATACTTTTGTGCAGTTCATTGATCATTCTGTAAAAGAGACCTATTTTCCATTAATAATGAAATGAAATATAAAATACAAAATTGTAAGATTCTATAGAGAAAACAGTATTTAATGTGTCACAGAAGGAGGCAAAGCAGCATCACTACCTTAACAAAGCATCATCATCATCTATCTTTAAATAATCTGACTGAACTCTCTACTAAATTCATTCAATTAAGTTCCCACTGATATGCATCACCCTTGTTTTAAAAGGAGTACAAGTCCTTTTTTACTCACTAATTTCACTCACCTGTTTACTCACTAATTTCACTAGGTTCAGTGGATTTAGTTGTAGTTATGTTCATCCATTGTAATCTTTAGCATCCAGTCATCAGGCTTCCTGAGAAAGTGATCAAGCAATTTAATTTCTTATATAAGGTTTTATTTTATTTTTCCATTCACATCTTAACGAAATGTTTTCACAAAAGTTTTCTCCCCCCCCCCCCCGCCCAAAAAAAAATTCTTGATGTGCCATTTGAAGCTTAAATCCAATTAGTCATCTCAAAAATAGCAATTACTAGGTTGTAAGCAAACGCGTAAACTGACTCAGGACTTTATCGCACCAAGCTTCCATTCTACTGTGATTGCAGTATTCTAGATATTGGGCATATATCCGGATGTGCTCATCTAATATTACAACTCTTTCAGTTGTGTAATTGCACCAATTTGACAATCCATAGTCCCACAATCTTATTTCCACATACCCTCATAATCCTGCCTTCCTGGACTTCCATGTCTCCATATTTTTTATTTTAATTAGTGAGAAATTTTGTAATTTCAACAATGAAAACCGAAAAGGCAAATATAATTGTAAAAGAGAGAAAAAATGAAAACAGAGATCTCGAAAATAGCAAGGAGGAGAGGGAGAATGAGAGAAGAGGAGAATCCCTCTGACATCACGTTACTGCCAGCATTCTGACAAAGAAGTGGAAGGGACACATCACACTTAGATAGCTGAATGGAACAGGTGATGGGAACATTGCAGGATAATTGCTAACTATTGATGAATTTTGCAGGATGAATGATGTGTCAATTGTGGGGAGGAAGCAGACATGTGGCATTGTTTTCCTGTCTCATGTGATAAAGCCCTCCCTCTAATCCAGTAGGAAACTACCAGTTGGATTTAAGACTTGCATGCACATAAACCCAGAAACAGCATTTCTGTACTATGGAGGCTTTATGCTCTTCTAGTTCCATATCAGCTATAGTCAGGAGAATAGTTAGCCAGGCCTACTTCAGGCTGTTGATCATTCTCTGCCATGTGACATGTAATACGAGTTCTCCAATGACAGTATAAACCATGGGAAATGTTTCTTCACCAGATTCATACTAGTTAAAGGAGATTATCTACTTTTAATTAAAGCATTTACTTTAGAATTACTCCTAAAAAGTAGACATCACATCCTGGTTCTCCCAGTTGAAAAATCACCTCTATCCAGCACATAACTTTATCTCTCTTTTCCTCTGTGTATCTATAGAGATACAGGAGTGTGTGTGTGTGCGTGTGCGTGTGCGTGCGTGCACGCAAATGGCCCTCTGTATCCAAGGGGTCCACATCCACATATTCAACCATCTATAGCTTTAAAATATTATTTAAAATCCAAAAAGAAAATCCTGATTTTGGCATTTTTATGTAAGGGACATCATTGTGTATTGTCGGACATAAGCATCCACATAGGTTGATATCTACAGGCAATCCTGGAACTAAACTGCAGGCATTTTGGTCACACTCTACAGCAGGCATGGGCAAACTTTGGCCCTCCAGGTGTTTTGGACTTCAGCTCCCACAATTCCCAAGAGCCTACCAGCTGGTAGGAATTGTGGGAGTTGAAGTCCAAAAACACCTGGAGGGCCCAGGTTTGCCCATGCCTGCTCTATATTCACAGAGCCAATAAGATATAGATGAGCTCTATCTTTTCCTTATCCGTAGACATTGGCCTAAATCCAATTGTTTATCCCAATTGGAATAGAGCCACTGAATCAATGGGAATTTGGTAAGTCAATGTTTATGTTGTTGTTGTTCATTCGTTCAGTCGTCTCCGACTCTTCGTGACCTCATGGACCAGTCCACTTTCCCCAGCATAATTGTCTTCTTCTAATGTTTATGTAAGTGTCATTATTTCCATGTTAAATAGCTGCCTCCAGAATCCCTTACTGATCATGTGTAAATATCAAAACAGAAATCTGCCTTATCAGCTACCTCCAACAAATACAACAAAAGAAAGAAAAATAGATTCCTGTGTTTCCTGTGCATCACTGGATGAAGTTTGAAATAAGCCTTTGAGTAATCTTTAGGCTTCAAAACGTTTTTGTTTACTTACGCAAGATATACCTGACCTGACCATTTTCATTCATATGGGCATATTGCCTGGTTTTCAATAAAATGTTCTCTGAAATGTGTTGAAATGCTTTTCTATTTAGAAGTGCATCAAAATGTCCCTATTATTCTCAGGCAATTTCTGCCTCTGGTGCCAAGTTTTCTAGTGGTTCAATGTTGTTTCATACAAGCATTTTTAAATATATAAAATTACCTTCAGGTCATGTGTATAACATCAATGAATGTTTTTCATTTAGAATAAGGCCTCATCTCCACAATCTTGTTATGTATGTATGTATTTATTATTTATTTACAGTATTTATATTCTGCCCTTCTCACCCCGCAAGGGACTCAGGGTGGATTACAATGCACATATACATGGCAAACATTCAATGCCAGTTATACAACATATATAGACAGACACGGAGGCAATTTAACATTCCAGCTGTGCCCAAGCTTTTCTGGCTTCATTAGGGTATGCTCGATTCTGGCCACAGGGGGAGCTGCTGCTTCACCGTCCATTGTGACACCAAGGCCTTTTGAGGGAGTACTTCCTCATTCTTCTGCACACTGCTGGAATGTTTTATGGCATTGTAAATGAGTTAAATTAGCCTCCCCACATAAAGCAGTACCTAAATTTCCTACTTGACAGATTCAACTACAGCAAGCTAGACTAATGGCCAGATGCTCACTCTGACCCAGGCTGGCTTCGAACACATGACCTCTCAGTCAGTAGTGATTTAATGCAGCTAGCTCACGCTAGCTGTGCCACAGTCCAGTCCATATTATTTATTTACCCTATTTATACCCTGCCTTTCTCTACCCCAAGGGGGAACTCAAGGTGGCTTACATATGACAATTATTCAATGTCTTAAACACAGACAAACATTAAGCATAAAATAAATTGAATTAAATGAATACACATTAAACATTTTAAAATTACATTCAATATTAAAATCACACCTTCCAAAAATTGTAGTCTAAGGCCGTTCCATAGTCATTGCACATACCCCAATTACTGCACTGCCCTATTCTCTGAAATATATGCAAATAGTGTACATGTATTTCATAATTTGGAAAAATCCAAAATGCAAAACACTTCTGGTCCCAAGCATTCCATATGAGGGCTACTCAACCTGTACCAGCCACCAATAAAAAGCAGACTCCAGCAGGTTGTGTTTGAACCACTAGGAATAGGCAAATGTCACTGTCCAGATGGGTTTCATTCCTCTGTTCTAGACTGGATAATCTTGCCTTCAGAATCTCTCCCACGTAGACTTTCCAGGCACTCTCTGCAAAATAGTTTTGATTCAAACTCTCTACAGAGACCTCTCACACAGGCTTTGCCAGCTTTGGCAGGAATCCAAGACTCTTGTTTGCTCATGAGAACATCCTCTCTCTCTCTCTCTCTCTCTTTCTCTCTCTTCCTGGCACAGGCTGATCCTTTCATCCTCAGCATTCAGTTCCTTCTCTCCAGCCCAGTTGTTCACTGGACAGTCAATATGTTGCTTAGCAACTTGATGGGAAAGGGAATGGACTAATCACATGGGAGCTGACTGGCAAGCCTTCCTCACTGGTGATAGCACATTATAAGGCCATTAGAGAAGGTGAAATTCAGACTGGAAGGTTCTGTGAAGCACTATGCCAACTTTCCCAGAGTGGCCGCTGCAGCTCTCTGCAG